AGTGTGGGTCCCCTGAGCCCCACTGGGAATGACCCCATACTCCATTCTTCCTGCCTCCCATATATGGAAGATAAGTAAGGTTGGAGTAGACAAATCTGGGGACAGTATTAAACTGAGCCAGGACAAACAGACACGTACCCTCCCAGCCCCCCCCCCCCCAAAGGTGCTGAATGTCCCTGAGCTACTGCAGCTACCCTGTCTAGGACCTCAGGGTAACATCTCGCTCTGTAGGACTTCGAGGGACCAGTGATAGTTCAGCAGGGAAGGCATTTGCCTTGCATGCAGCCGACCTGGGTTCGATCCTCAGCATCCCACATGGTCCCCCAAACACCGCCAGGAGTAATTCCTGAGTGCAGAGCCAGGAGTAACCCTGAGCATCGTCAGGAGTGACCCAAAAAACCAAACCAAACCCAAATGGGACCCCAAGTCTCAAGTGGGGGTCTGACCAGCCCCTGAAACCCCTCCCCCACCCTGCACCCACACACATGGGGTCTCCCTCCCAAACTCCTGGGGGCATCAATGCCCCCTCCCCCTCCACGTAGTGCCACCCCACCCTGAGCATCAGAACCAGTCACGAGGCCCCCTAGAGGGCAGAGTGGAGCCCCTTGGGGCCAGTGCTAGAGAGCTGACCCACTGGGGAACATTTTTCAAGCAAATGGAAGAGATGAAGGCCGAGCCTTTCTTTGTATACATATTAACACTTGTTAGTTCCCCCCAGTTCGTGGGCCAGACCAGCGACTGGCTTTGCTGGCTGCAGATCAGAGAAAGGCCAGGTGGATCTGAGGCCTGGATGGGAGGGTCTCGGGACCACAGCCTCGGCTAAGGCTGGCGGGCCAGGGCCACCCTGAGAGCGGCCTGGCAGCAGACCTCGCAACAGTCTGTTGGAGCCTTAGCAGCAGCACAGTGTGGGCACGGCCAGAGCCTCACTCTTACCAACTATGGCTCTGGGACGAGCTTCCCTTTCTCGTCCTAAGTTAGCCCGGATTTCCTTTGCGACACCCTGCCCCCTGCCTTGTCATCACTGGCTTATCGTGATCAGCCGTGGGGTAGCACAGACGCCCATGGAGGCCGCGAAGTGCCGCTGGGGCTTCTGTGGAGAGCTGGGCAGGGGTCCCCTTCCCCGGGACAGCTGTGTGCGGACAGGCCCCCAGTGGGGGCGGTTCCTTCCCATATTGGGGTCCAGCCACTTTTGTAGAGCCTGAGGGCATCACAAGCAGCCAAAGCAGGCAGAGGAGGAGGAGGAGGAGGAGGAGGCGGAGGAGGGATGCTAACCCAACTGTGCTTGAGACACTGCATTCACCCCAGATTGCTCCTACTTCCGGCATCTTCTGAGGTGAAATTTCACTGAGTCCATCTGCGTTTTCTGACCTTTGTAATCAAGATGACCAGTGAGAGAATGCCACTTACCTCCAACGCATTCAAGTCTTTCATCTCGAAGCAGGGAGCGAATCTTCGCGAGGCTGTGCCCTGCCCACCCCCGTGGAGACGAGAGATTCCTAGAGGTCCCAATTCCTCCCTCGGGCCCTGCCCCAGACAGGCGCACGGCTTCCACACACATCATTCAGAAGTTTTTAATAAACAACTTCATTATAAAAACTTTTGAAAATGTAATTCTGTAAAACATTGAAAAATCTACTTTAACAAAGATATGCCCTGTGCATTTTCTAATGGCACTTATACTTTACAATTAAAAACCTTGTTTTATATAAAGCCAAAAAATACTCCAAGAGGTTATTCACTGTGTTTACAAAGTGCTAGAAGGTTTTGTCTTGTATTTTTTTTTCTCTTTAAATAATCTGGCGTTACGAAAGAATGGCTCCAAAGCCGCAACCACTGTGGGGTCGGAGTGGGGCGGGAGAGGCGGCGCTTCGGGGGGGCCTAGTGCACTGGACAGTCGCCTGGACAGGTGGGGGCGCTCTTGCGGGAGGGCAGCGCTGCACTGCAGGGAAGGACCCCTGAGCTGCTCCCCCGCCCCCCGCGGAGGCACTGGATTATTGGGGGGCTCCTCCTGCCAGAGCCCTACACACTCTTTCCCTCGCCACACCCCCACTCTCCAGCGGGGCCGGCCACGGCCAACTTCTTCCACAGCAGGTTCAGAGTTCCAGGAGAGGCCAGGCTGGGGACCCCGAGACCGGGGCTGTTCTGGCCAACACCCGCCTAAGGCAAATTTTCTTATTACATAAATATCCTTGTTAAAAAGCAAAATATTGATCCTGTACAATATAAACTGTTAAAAAAAATCGTGCTTAAAAACAGCTCCTAGATAAGAGGGGAAGGTGGAGGGGGGCAGGGGTGGAGAAACACTACCTACCAAAAGGGAGGGGCCAGGCTTCAGGGGCAGTGGGGGGATTTCGGCTTAGGGTAATATCTACGAGCGAAAGAGTAATCACACCTGCGTCCCGGAATTTCCTAACAAAATGCCGTTTGTCAAAGGGGGGGAAGTCACAGGGGCGCCCTTCCCGCCCTCCCGGCCTTGGAGAGGAGTGCGGCTGAGGCGCTGTGCAGGGTGGAGGGCCAGCCCTGGGCAGGGCAGCTCACTGCCCACAGGGACTGCAGGGGTGCGAGGGAAGAGACCACACCCCTTCCTCCTGGTTCCCGTCTGGTCTCTGCCGAAGTGTCTTGGCTCCTGTGGTGGGTGGAAGCCCCTTTAGGTCTGTAGCCTTCCTAAGGGGCAGCAAGTGGATTTGGTACTGCATGGAGGACAAAGCTATTCTTCTCCTTTGAAAACTCAGGCCAATAAGCCTTTTTTTTTCCTTTTTTCTTAAATTTTGGGAAGGGAAGTTTAAGAAAGATCTGGGTAGCTATGGTCCCCAAAAATAAAAAAAGAAGAAGAAGAAGAAGAAGACAGATGTTCTTCTGTATCAGCAAGGTTCACAGTGATAGGGAAATTCCTTGTGGGTGGTGAGGGCCTTGAAAGAGGAGGAAGAGGCAAAGAGGGCGAGGCGAGGAGGAACGAGCGGTATAGGCGCCTGGCTGGAAGGTCTTACATAGCTGCTTTGTCTGTCCTATGTATGAGCCTCCCAGCACCACTCACGGGGGAAAGACCTCAAGAACAGGAAGGAGCGGGCAGGGAGGGGGACTCCTCGTAAGTCCTTAGAGTCTGTGGCCAGAGCCCCCGTGCCTCTGTACCGGGTGGAGGCAGGGAGGGGCCGGGGAGGGGGCGGGGCTGCCGGGGGCAAGCAGAGAGAAACGGCCAGGAGGACGGCGGCAGCGAGCTCTGCGCAGCCCGGCATGCGCCATCCCCCACATACGAGTCCCAGTCACATGCACAGCATGTAGGAGGCGGCCGCGTACCGAGGTGGACGCTTCTAAAAACAAACCTTAATTAGTCCCTGGGACTCACTGAAACCAATTTTTAGAAGTAAATCACCTAGTCTGATCATAACCTTTCCAGACATCTTTATATCTGATTTCTTGTTTCAAAGGGAGCCCGCGCTACCCTGCCTAAGTCAAAACGTGCCGATTCGATCCACGAGGCTTCCAGTCAAGGACAGGGAGCTGTGTTTTAAGGCTTTCACCTCAAAGAGTGCTGGCCTCGGCGGGAACCGAAGCCCGGGTCTCAGACCTGATTAGTTCCTGATGATACACCAAAGTGATTCCTAGTCGAAAGAGGGGAAGGAGGACGGTAGGAGATTGAGGCAGTTCCTTGGTAGTTTGTCCTGAAACCCTAGTGGAGAAGCCAGCAGGAGGCTGAGAGAAGGGCCTGGAGTTGCTGGCTACATCTATAGGCGTTAACAGTAAAGAGGTAGAAGTGTGTTTCTGAATCAGAGTGGAGGTGTCTCAAGAGGGTCCCATCGTGGTGGTCCCTGAGCTGCCTCCTTTCCATGAATGGGAAGAGTGAAGCCCATGCAGAACTGAGATGAAGCAGGAATGGGTGTTCAGCTGGGCAAGGACCGTGCTGTCATGTGGCAGGAAGCCCCACAAGTCAGAAGAGAAGAACAAATCATTGGAGGAAATCTTGCTGGGTACTGACAATAAAACTGAAGGGGAGGAGGGGTTCTGCACAACAAGAGGAAGGTGTCATTTCTTCAGTGGGAACAGAGAAGCACAATGGCCCTGCGTCTACAGGGAGACCAGCACGTGTGCAGGGGTGAGGAGGAACGGTATAGGTAAGAAACAAAGGTGGGAGGGAGGTGATGATGTACCCATACGTTAGGCCCAGTCCTAACTTTCAGAAATATCCTTCTTCCAACAATTCCACGACTTCCTGGAAAAGGAACAGTTGAGAGAGAGACAAGTGAGGTGTTCACACCCTCCCCTGTGCTCTCCACACCATCCCAGAACCCGAGTTCCTCCTTCCAGGATGAATGACACAGGCTCATGATGTTTGGGGCAGGGGCCGGGGAGCAGGGAGGTGATGGAGTGGGGGTGTCTTGTATTTCTTCCCCTCTCTGGTTCGAAGGGAGGAGGGGGTCATGATGGACTTGGAGAGCAACAGAACTGCAGACCTGTGAGAAGACCGCTCCGACGTTCTCGCCAGGCTCCTGCCATCGCTGCGGGGGAGGCCAGCACACAGAGTCATGGAAGATGGCAGAGAGTGAAGCAGTCCAAAGTCAGTTTATTTCCCCACAGGGGAAAAATGTGACCTCAAATGAAGAGAAGTCAGCGAGACCCGACTCCGCCTTGTAAACAGGGCTCCAGTTGACACCAGGTACCAAGTGGTTCTGGCTGGTGCCAACTGGAATGGACTGGTGGGAATGGATTCACAGTGTTTGAACAATGTTCACTGCAATCACTCTAAGGCTAACAGCTCGGCAAGGGAGGTGAAATGGTGTGTCTGAGGCGACTGTGTAAACGGTACCGTTGCTGGACAACACTGACTGAAATTGGAGGTGTTGACAGAGAGGGCGGGGTGCGGGGGAAGGACAGAGACCCTCTCTCCGGTCCATTGACTGGGAACAGGCAATGGAGCAGTGGCCCGCTGCAGCATGAGGCGTCTGCAGTTGGGGACCAGAAGGCAGGCTTCTCGGGCTAGTTCTCGCGAGGTCATCCAACGTGAATCCCTCTATGTCTCCAAGAGGCCTCTCCCTCCTCCGGAGAGAAGGGGGTTCTGACGCTTTAGAGAGGGAGGGGGTCAGGTGCGACTCCCATTTCAGACAAGACAAAAAGGAAAGTAAAAATACCTGAAGTCCTATGGTACGAGATCTTTTCATGGGGCCGGGGCTCAGAGCTCCTCCTGAAATTGATCCGAGAGCCTGAACCGCAAACCAAGTGCTCCGAACAGATACTGGAATCTTTCTCTTGGAACCCAGCTCTGAATGCTCAGCTGCCTTCGTGGGAGATGCAGATGGGGTGGGTGCCGAAGCTCCCTGACAAGAGAGCCTCCGGGGGCGCTACTGGAATGCCTGGTGGAAACGAGGCAGCGTGGTGGTGCTCAGGCCAGACGTGAAGACAGGCGGCAGGGAGTGCAGAGGCCCGAAGCTCAGCGGGGCTCCGGCTCCCGGGGGATCCTGAGGCTGGCCTTGCAGAGTGGTGAGCAGGGGCTGCGCCTCCGCCTGGGAATAGCCCATCACCAGGCCTCCGGTGGCCCCGGGGGGGTTGCACGGGGGCAGGTTGAGGGGGAGAAAGCCCAGCAGGTGGGAGAAGTCCACGTTAGCAGCGCAGAGGGCCTCAGGCAGGTTGGCGGGGCTCTTGGCGAGCAGTGCTTCATCGAGGAGGGCTGCCGCTGCCGCCGCCGGCTGAGGGGAGGCGGGCTGGGGCTCGGCGGACGGGAGAGACAGGCTTCCGGGAAGCTCCGCCAGGAAACTATCCACCTCCACTTTGGGCAATTTGTCGGGCAAGTATGAGGTAGATCCGAGCTGGTATTTTGGAGGAAGCTGAGCGGGGGAAGAGATGGGCGAGGATTCCAGCGGGTAGCTCATGCCCATGGGCAGCGTGTTGTGCACCAGGGAGTGTGGCACGCCCGCACTGGGCATGGGAGGGATGTGGGCGCCGTACATGCCCATGGGCAGCATGCCGGGGAAGGCCTTGGCGCCCATCACGTCCCGCGAGGCCATGCACAGCACGGGGCTCAGCTCTTCCTTCACGCTGACGGCAGAGCCGCAGCTGAGGAGGCCAAGCATGTCCACGGGTTCCGTCTTGATCTTGAGCAGCTCCTGCGAGTGGCTCTTCTTCACGTGGCGGGTCAGGTGGTCCTTGCGGCCGAACCGCTGGGCACAGTACTGGCACAGGAAGTCCTTCCGGCCCGTGTGCACCACCAGGTGCCGCCGCACATCCTTCCGTGTGTAGAAGCGCCGGTCACAGTGGTCACAGGGGTGCTTCTTCTCCTTCACCCCGCCCGCGACCCGGCGCGAGTGGGCCTTCAGGTGCTCGAGCAGGGCCTGGGTGCTCTCAAAGGCCTGCAGGCACACCTTGCAGCTGAGGTCGCCGCTGCTGGCCGCGTGCATGGCCAGGTGGCGCCGGTAGCCGAGCTTCGTGTTGTAATTCTTCCCACACTCGGAGCAGTGCAGGGCCTCTTTGTTGGGGTCGTGGGTCTGCAAATGGTTCCGCAGATGGTCCTTGCGGTGGAACATTTTATCACAGTACATGCACTGGTGGGGTTTCTGAGCTGAGTGGGTGGCCATGTGCCTGCAGCGGGGGGAGAAAGAGAAAAGGGTCAGGCCTGTCTATTAGGCACAAAAATGACAGCAGAGCCACAGAGTCAAATGGAATGGGACGCCAACGGATTTCTACAGATGACCTTCACCACGTGAAATCATCTGGTTTAGGGTGTGGGGGAAAAGGTTTTAGGACCAGACCCAGCAGTGCTGGGAGTTATTCCCAACTCTGTGCTTTGTGGGGAGGGAGGGTCTCCTCTAGCAGTACTTGGTGGACCAAGCGGCGCGAGAACCAGGATCAGCTTCAATCAAGGAAAAGGCCTCAATCCCCCTGTACTATCTCTCTGGTCTCTCTGCTACGCTATGCTCTATAGTAGTTGTAATAGCAAAAAAACAAACAGACAAAAACAATCTAAATGTCCATCAATAGCATCGACAGAGAAATAGATATATGCTAAGTCCACAGTATAACTCAAATTTAAAAAAAAACAAACAAGCTTTTAAGATATAACAGAGAAAAGGCAATAAAATAGAATGCTGCTAAGTATAACAAAGGAAAACCATGTATGTTTGCTCTTCCTAAATATTTCTGGAAAGGCTATACAAAAAAGCAACAGTTTTGGGGGCAGGAGAGATGGTACAGTGGGCAGGGTGCTTGCTTTGCATGCGAATAACCCAGATTTGATCCCTGTCATCCCCATATGGTCCCAGAGCCCCACCAGGAGTGATCCCTGAATACAGAGCCAGGAGTAAGCTATGAGCACCGCCACCGCCAGGTGTGGCCCCCCCAAAAAAATATTCTACTTACGGTAAAAAGAAATGGCCAGTTTATAGGTGATATAATGAAGAACTGTTGTATATCTCTTGGCACCATTAAAATTTTGAATGTATACGTACTTCCTTTGCTTCTTTTGTTTTTGGGTCATACTTGGCAGTGCTCTAGGGCAACTCCTGGCACTCCAGTGCTCAGAGGTCACTCCTGGCAGTGACCAGGGGAATGTGACAGACAGCAAGGCCCCCGGATCCCAAGCATGTGTTCCAGTTCTTTGTGCTCTCTCCCCAATCCTGTGTTTTCTTTTCTTTCTGGTGGGATGAGAAGGACATTGGAGCTAAACCTGAGGAGCTCTGGGACTACTCCTGGCAATGCTCAGGGGACCATGTCGTGCTGGGGGCTGAGCTAGGCCTCCCACATGCCAAGCAAGCACTCAGCCCTTTGGAGCGCGCTCTGATTCACCTTCGCAAATGTTATGTGAAAAATTTTAATGACACAATAAAGGGAAAGTAAAATATATCTAAACTTCCTGAGCTGGAACAATTTCCCAGGATACAAGGAATTAACTCAAAAGAGGAGATCCAGGAGAGTCAGGCTGGCCGCTCAACGAGCTGGAGTGCCCATGCTGCACGCCGGAGGCCAAGTCTGATTCCCATCACAAAGGGCCCTTCAGCACAGCCCGGTGTCCCACGAGTGGCTCCAGGCACAGCTGGGCCTGAGCACTGGCAGAGAAGGTCAGTTTCACTCAGTGGCTCCTGGGACTCCTGAGAACTACTTTGGGGGAAATAGGAAAGGCAGAAAAACTTTTTTTGTTGTTGTTTTTTGATGATTAGCCTAGCATGTGTGAAGGTCAGAGTGCAATCTCTGGCACAGGTGCACTCTCCCGCACCCTACACCCTGGCTCTGCTGGGTGTGGTCCTAAGTGGCCTCACCAGGCCTGAGCACTAAACTGTTCCTATACCATCTAACCAAACATCTCTAGGAGCACCTCTGCGATCGGGAAGCACCACAGGGGGTGTACCAGTGGTCTTATAAAAAAAATTTTAAAAGGAAGCTTAATATAGCACTATCCTATAATACCTTTTGGAAATAAAAAGGGACGGGAATATACAGAGCCAGAAAGACGGTACAGCGAGTTGGGGGCTTGCTTTGCAGGCAGTCAACTCGGGTTCGATCCCGAGTACCCTACATGGTCCCCCAAGCCCTCCCTGGAGTGCTCTCTAAGCACAGAACCAGGAATAAGCCCTGAGCACAACCAGTGTTTCTTCCCCCTGCCCCCCACCCCCCCAAAAAAGGGAATGGGAATACGTATTTGAATGTTTCAGCAAGGGAGTCCAGAATGAGACTCAGTGGTAGAAAGAAGGCCTTGCATACGAAGGACTGGATTTGATCCTTGACTGCACATGGGCAAACATGAGCAAGCACGCGCGCATATGCATACACAGACACACACACACACACACACACACACACACACACACACAGAGGCTGAGGTATGCAGAAGGCCTGGGTTCTATTACTGGCAGAGTCTGCTGAGCACCACCAAGAGTGGCCCCAAGCACCGTCAGGAAGCGTGAGGGAGAATAGGGGAGGGGAGGAGTTGGGGGAGAGGGGAGGAGAGGGGAGGAAGGGAAGGAAAAGAAAAGAAAAAGGATCCACCGAAAAATGACCCTCCCTTCTGAGGAGGAGAATGGCTTCAATATGAGGACAATTCATCCGGCCTATTTGTACTGTATAACCAGAAACATTTAAACATTTAAAATTGTTTCTACATTCCTTGGTCCCCCCTCCTCTCAGTTGGTTGGACAGCAGCTTGGAGTCCGGGAATTGCAGTCCAGAGCTCATTAGTACTTTCACTGTCAACTCAGCCAGGCTGCAAGGGCGGCCCCTTTAACAGGCCCTGCGCGAGCTGTCATTAAGTGCTCAGCAGTAAAAGGTGCAGTGCAGGCTGAATGCCCACAGCGGTTAGGCAGGGCAGAGGCTGAATTTAAACACAGCCCTTCTGGAGACCCGGATTCACCTAGGAGTGCCAAGCTCTTCTCGAGGGCACTTAGTCGCCTCTCCACGAGGAGAGTAGCCATTCCCACTGGCTCCGGGACCTGCTGGGACAGATCTGACACGGGAATGTCAGACAAGGCTGTGCTGAGTGGTTCATTTCTCTTATTTTGGAGGTAAGAAAACTGAGGACCAAAGGGGCTTTAGTAATCTGCCGAAGATCAAACTGACGCAAGGGAGTCAGAAATCCTACCTCATGGAACAGACCCTTTCCTGCAGCAACATTCACATGGTCACTCATAAAGTCAAAAGGGACAGCAAACTGGGGTCCAGCGAAGCACAAAAGCACAAGAACAGGGCCAGAGCCAGCCCAGCAGGTACCACGATCTTTCCCTTCAAGTACTCGATCACACACAACCCTGAGACTGTGACTGACAACGGGTACCCGAAACGGCAGAAAGCCAAAGAGACAATGGGGGGCTATCACTTGTTTGCTACTTAGGAAGCCAGTAGACGACAATGGCCAGCACCCCCACCTCTTCTGGGTCCCTACTCCATCACTAGCTTAGCATCTATGGCAGGTATGTACAGGGGCTCAATCGATTCTGGATGGAGAGAGGCGGATAAATGCCTGTGCATCAGCAGTCTAGCTCATTCACAGAGAGCAAGCTCATGGTTTTCTATCGGAAAGGTAAGGACGAAACAAAATTGGCTTCTAACCCCCTGCGCTTATTTATTTTGGTTTTGGGGCCACACCCCAAAACCGGCTGTGCACAGGGGTTATTCCCGGTCACTCTTGGCTCCGCACGCAGGGATCACTCCTGGCAGGCTCAGGGGACGGTATGGGATGCCCAGGGATCTAACCGGGTTGGCCGCATGCAGGGCAAGTACCTACCCACTGTACTATATCGCTCCAGCCCCAGGCCTCCTCCTCCTCAAGTTGCTCTACTCTACACCTCGTTTCACTAGGACTTTCGTAGTCCATTTTACTTTAAGTAGGGATTCATGGGCTTAAGAGACTCAGGAAAGCGCCAGCAGGGGTGGGAAGCATCTGGCTACGGCAAAGGCCCACAAGGTTCTGCAGTCTGGCCCTGCTACAGGACAGGGACAGACAGACGTGCTTCGTGCACTTCCCGCGGACTGCCGGCACACCAGACGGGCAGACCGGTGTCATGTTCTAAACAGCTGCTTCCCCAGCTGTGCTCTACCAACACAGGACCAACCACCTGAACAGGCTGGCTCAGAAGAGGCACTGCAGGACCCAAGAGGCTGGGTGACCGGGAGGAAATTACTTCCCTGCCTGAGCCTCTACTCTGAATTTACAGGCTGGACCACACGGATTCCTTTCCTTTCCTTTTTTTTTTTTTTTGGTATTGGGGCTACACCAGGCAGTCTTCAGGGGCTACTCGTGGCTCCGTGTTCAGGGGACCATGGGATGAGGCTGGGGTGTGCCCTCCACATGCAAAGCACGCACGTTAAGCCTGTTGCTCTCTCTCTTTCCCTCCTCTGCCTGCTAATGTCCAAAGACTAATTGCTAACTTCTGACCGAGTCTCACTATTACCTGAGTCTCACTATTACCTCACTACTGCTCCCACCACTTACGGGGTGGGGCAAGTAATACTGAAAAAATGTATTCAGTCTAGTTTGCTCATTGCTGTGTAACACACACCCAGGTTCTAGTTTCTGAATACAAAATAGCTCAGGGGCTGAGGAAACAGTACAGCGGTTACTTGCATGCAGCCACCCCGTACTTGATCCCCAGCACCACATGGCCTCCAAGTGTCACCAGGTATAGCCCTGGAGCCCTGAGGGGATTCTGGTGCCTGAGGAGCACTGCATCCTTGGGCCCAAAAACTGAACCACTGAGCAGCTTGGAGGAGCATCTCCAGAAGTGACCCCTGGAGTTTGGGAATCTGCTCTCTCCTCTCCACGCACGCGCGCACACACACACACACACACACACACACACACACACACACACTTCTTTTAGTGAATAAAAAATACTAAGTAATCTCCCAAGGCTGGTGTTCAGGGTCCATTTACGGGACAAATTCACCTGCTTTTTATGCCACTGGTAATGTCCCGCATTCAGTGGGGTCTTGGGAACCTTGGGCAGGAAGAGGGACAATTCTCACCTACCTATACAGCTTGTACTTGGAGGCAAAAGCCTTGCCACAGTGCAGCTGGGGGCAGCTATATGGTCTCTGCTCTGGGTGGGGGAGGCTGTGAGGTCTCAGCTTCTCCCCGTTCGAAAAAGATGTCCCCGAGATTTCACATTGGCACTTCACTTGACTCTCCACCTCCCGGCCCCGCGGCCTGGGAACTAATTTCCAGCCCACTTCTTCCTCCTGCTTTGCATCTTGAATCCAGGGAGGGACGCTGGTGAAAAATGTGGTCATGGCAAGGCTAACGGCGCAGGGCCATGTCACTCAGGAAGCCTCCCCGTCAGCTCCACATGGGTTCTCTGCTCTGTCACGGCCTCCAACGCAGCCTTCAGAAAACAATCTCTTCACCTGAAACAGCAGAATGCCTGGGGTTAGGGCCCGATACCACTGAGACAGGAGCGCCGGAGGCGGTTCGAGCCCCATGGAATCCCAGACCTTCCACGCAGAAGCCATGCAACACTCAGCCAACTGGTTACTCTCTGAGCAGCTCGTTTATGAAAGTGGCCCCAGAAACTATCTCCTAAGTGTATTTGAGGATCAAATTGTGATAATCATGTAAGAATTCTGTCGCTAGTAAGTGTTTAGTGGTAGCTAATATTACCAGTATCACTCAGTCTAACAAGAAACAAGCTCATCTGAGGAAGTTCAACCCCCCAATCCCAAACTTTCTCTTCTGATTCACTTCTGCATCCTGTCTTTTGGGGTGGAGGGGAGGGCATACCCGGCGATGCTCGGGGGACCATCTGGGATGCTGGGGAATCAAATCCGGGTCAGTTGCGTGCAAGGCAAACGCCCTCCCAGCTGTACTCTCTCAGGCCCCCACTCCATCCTTTCTACTAAGCCTAAAGCCAGTAGCTCCTCCTTGACCCTTCCTCTCCCTCACCCACAACTTTCCAACTTTCCACAATTCTCCTCCTCCTCATAGAGGTGCTAAAGTGCAATAAAATGCCCAAAAGGCAACAGATGAGAGGAAAAGGCTTTTTTTTTTTTTTTTTTTTTTTAGGCCACACAGGGCGGTGCTGCTCAGGCTTACTCCTGGCTCTGCACACAGGGATCACTCCTGACAGGGCTCAGGGGCCCATATGGGCGGGATATCGAAACTGGGTCGTATGTCAGGCAAGCACCTTACCACCTACTCACCCACTCTCTCCTGCCCCCCCAAAAAAAAGACTTTTAAGGAAATGGACGCCCTGCAGAGTCACCCTTGGATCACCTGTTTCTCAGCAACAGCACCAACAGCAAGGGGTTCTGTCCCGAGGAGGAAAGGACACGGTTTCCCCTGCAGCCTATCTGGAGGCATCCCAACCTCCACTACTTCTTTTGGTCCAGGGGCCCAAAACCTCCAACACCACAAACTGCTGCATGCCCTGCTAGAGACCTTCCTAGTATATACGCAGTTCCCGATTCGGAGCAGGTGACAGGCTTGACTTTAGAACTGAGTCTCCTTCAGACTCACAACGCCCTGAGAGCTCGGATTATTTCTCTTTCATCCCCACACACCTTGCATATAGAAAAGGAATCTGGACTTTCTTTTAGATGAGCAAACTAATCACTGAATAATAAGTTGATCCTCAGAGTCTTAACTCAGAGTCTGGAAATTCTGGTTCAAACGGGGCTTATAGCCCTTCTAAAATGAAGAGCCAAAATCTTGATTCCCGAACCTTTCCCTTGTGGGGAGCAGAGGGATGGACATGAGCAAAGTGAGACACAATTTCTTTTCCTGTATGAATTCAGAGCAAGAGCATTTGGGAATCACCATCCTCAATCTCAAAAGGGGAGATTATCCTCAGTTCCAAGCTCATCGGAAGCTGCCAGCCACAAGGCAACTTGCTACAACAGAAGGTGACCCCTTGAAGAGGTCATGCCCAAATCCGGTCATCCTCATGGCCAGATTGTCCACGTAAAGGGAACAAAAGTGGTGCCTGGGGATTGGCCATGTGGATCTGGGGAAGGCGCCAACCGTACATGCTGTGGGCCACGGAACGCTGGCTCAGCTCATCAGCACCCACTGCTTCCAGTGACTATTCACCCAACAGACTGCCCGGAACAAGAGGATGGGATCAGCGGGTTCATGCCCCAGAGAGCCCTGCTCATCCCTCCCATGAGCTCTGTCCTGGTCAGGAACCGGTCCGCGTGCTGAAGAAACAGTGCCATGTAATATGATCAGCATTTCCCCATCACGAGTGGAGATTTGCCTAGAAAGTGCTGCACAAAGGTAGCTGCACTGTGCATGAGTCACACGCGAGGGAGGGGTAGGCGGCACACAAACTAGTCCCACTTGAGCCTTCAAATCATCGTGGCCTATTTGCCTGCTGCACTACAGACCTCAAAGGCTTCTGCTGGCTGCCTTTCATTGTTTGAGTCCCCTCCTTCTTCAGGAGGGTGGAATTACCTGTTTATAATACCAGTGATTACAATATACTCTTGGAACTGGGCAGAGAACGAGCATGGAGTTTGAAGAGGCAAACTAGACGGTTTGGAGGGAATTTCCTCTCCCCGGCAGCCTCTGGCAAGTTGGAAGTGACAGCCAGAGGGAAGCAAGATGCATCAGTCTGGCTGATGGGGGGGGGGGGGGGGGGGGGGAGCTGAGCCCTGGAAATTCCGCACAAACTCAGAAAGAGAACAGTACATCCCCCACCTCCCACACGTCCACCTCATCTACTCTCCCAAACAAGCACAAACAAGAAACGGCAGCGTAGAGTGCTGCTACTGAAAGGGTGAGTAATGGGCTTCTAGGAAAGAGGGGCTCATAGGCCGACACTGACAGAACCAAGGAGGAAGGCTACCGCCACGTGCTTGCCTTGATCTGCGTTTAATGGGGCTACGGCCTTAAAATGAAAACCACCAACACCCCGATCCTACTCCCAGCCCCCCCAAACCGCCCCCTCCCTCAGCTATTAAAAAGCCCCAGTGGACGTCCTTACCCAGTCACCAGACAGGTCTGCCGCATAGCCCAAACTGTCAGGGTTTCCTTAAGAGCCTCTTTTTGGAAACCTAGTTTGCCTCCCTCCGGTCTCTGCAAAGTCCTCTGACGCGGGGAGACCCCAAGGCTCGCCCCCTCAGAGGGCCTATTCCTTCAGACTTCTTCCTGAGCCAAACTGTGAGCTTCTCTTTCAAAGCTGTTCTTCTGGTCTCTTGCTCTCCCCTTAACTATAGGGAAGCTGACAGAACCTGTTCCCATAAAACAAACACAATCAATCCCTCCCAGTTACTGATATAGCTAAGTTTTCAGCCTGCGATTCCGTCTGGGGCCTGGTCTGAAGAGGTAGCATGGAAAGAACCTTGGACCTGCTATCAGAAGAGCTGCCTCTCACTGGCCCTGAAACCATGGGCAGGTTCCTTTGCTCCACCTCAGTTTCCTCAATTTCCAAAGCAGGAATTTATTATCCGTACCGAGGTAAGGTTCGCGTGGAGGACAGGTGAAACAATGCCCTTGAAAAATCAGACACAGGTGCGATAGTACAGCAGGTAGGGCGTTTACCTTGCACACGGCCGACCTGGGTTCGATCCCTGGCATCCCATATGGTCCCTTGAGCTCTATCAGGAGTACTTCCTGAGTGCAGAGCCAGGAGTAACTCCCAAGCATTGCTGGGTGTGACCCAAAAAGCAAAAACACTAACAACTAAATAAACTTGAGGAATATTACCATTAAAAAAAAATCAGACACAGACACGTGCTGAGAACAGGCGGGGCCACTGTGGAGGCCTGGGCTGGTCTGCCTCTTGCGCTCAGGGCGGGAGGAGTCCTTCTTCCCCCGTTCTTGAATGTTTCTTCTCAGACCTCAGAGCTTCCTTCCCTTCCCAGAGTCTCCCCCCCGAATACGGTCTTCCCCTTTTCCCTCACAGCTCTCCTCGGAGCAGGCGCCCCTTTCTCTACCTCCCGTCGTCCCTAAGAACTGCTAGGGCAGGGTTCTTTCTTGCCCAGATGTCCACACTAGAAACCCCTTCTACGGAGGCTCCACGCACCAGATACCAACACCTCTGGGAACTCTGGCCAGCCCTCCGGGGAAGCTGAATCAGAGACAAACTGCTCCCCGTCGGCCAGTCCTTTGTTGTATGTCATGATGCCTGCTGCCCTCTGATGAAACTATAGTTTTTATGGTGTTACATCATCTCTATAGAAACTTCGTTCTTTCTCCATTATTAGCCTGTTTCCTCATCGCTAAAGCTAAAAATACTTACCTCACAGACTTGTTGTAAGGATTATTTTAGTCAGGTATGCAAAGGGCTCAACATAGGGCTTGGCGAGCTGTAAGTCCTCAACAAAAGGCAGCTATTATCTTTGCCTTTGTATCGAGTTGCACGTTCCCACCTTCAGCCGCCACACTTGAATTCTCCCAATCCCACCGCCCCCCCCCCACCAAAACCGCCGAGAGAGATCAAGCCCCCTGCAGCACAGAAAGGGTTAATCCTAGAGTTCTTTAACTAAAGAGACCCACAGAGGATTAACAGCTCCACTCCGTGACTACCCTAAAATAGCTTTTATCCCTCCTGCCCAAGAGCTACTTGGGGATCTGAAGAACTCAATTCAACACCTGCCGAGGAGGAGGAAACACACCCAGGAAAGTTCCTTGGGATGGACAGACTCTTCCCTTAAGCGGAACCCAAAATAGCAACTGGGAAATTATAAATAGACTTGGAGGAGAAAGAAACCAGGTCCTGACCTGGGCACCAGCAACAAATCGGAAAGACACTGCGTGGCCAGCCAAAAGAGAGATGGGGAGTGGGAGAGCTGACCCCCAACTCTCTCCCTCCCTCTCTCTCTCTCTCACACACACACACACACACACACACACACACACACACACACCAGAGTGGTGGGAGAATTAAATTACAGGGAGGCTGGAGAGTCTCAATGACTTGCATCATTCCAGGAGACATCAAACAGGATTAGCAGGGGCCGGGCTGACTGCTGGCTGCGGCGCCTCTGTCAGTGGCGATGGGCCCGCGCGCTGCGTCCCTTTGATTCCCGCCTGCCTCGGGTGCCCCTGCCTCCCACTCCCAGGGCTGCCCCGAGCAAATGGCCGCGGTTCACACTGCAGCCCCATTCCCACCGAGTGGAAACCCGAGGAGACCCGATACCTGGTCCCCCACCCCCACCCCCCCTACTGCGGGGTGGGGGGGCGCTCTCACCTGGGGGGGGGGGGGGGGAGAGGGGTGGCCTGGGGAAAGGTTAGGAAACCAAGGCTAGGCTCCACCAGGTCCTGGCTGACAGGTGGAACAACACACGGCCAAGAGCCAGGCCCGGCCAGCAGGTGAAAGCACCCGCTCCCAGCACCACTTGTGCGCCCCAAAACCATCCCGGAGGCGCGCTGGGGGCCCTTTCCCGACCCATCCGCTGGCGGCCGAGGGGGGGAGATGGAAGTGGGCCACGGTGGGGGGTAAGATCCAGGAATTCAGGATCAAGTGGTGCGGAGGGGGGAGCTCCAGGCTGCGAAGGGAGCGAACGATCTGGGTCTCGAGGGACCCCCCAAATAAATGGGGTGGGGGGCAGCTACGATGGGGCTGGAGAGTCCCACGGGGGGCTGCCTGGAGGTGCCCGCGATCGCCAAGTTTTATTGGGGGGGGGGGGAGAGTAACTAGAGATCGGGCTGACTCGGGCGCCCCGGAGCCGGGCACTCGAGAGAAGTCTCCGAAGCGGGGGCCACGGCCCCGGGAGGCGCGGGCGGGGGTCCGAGGGCCGCGGAGGGGGCTGAGTGGACGCGGGTAGGCGTGTCTCCGCGCGGGGAGCAGGTGCAGCTTATCGGAGTCCCCCGGCCCCGGGTCCCGGGGCCGGCCGCCACGCGTTGCGGGGGTCTCCGGGGCGCCCGGGGCCGGGGCCGGGGGTCCCGGGAGCGCGGCCCCCCGGATCCGGGCGCGGGGTCGGCCCCGGGCCTAGCCGGGCCTGGGCGGACGCCGTGGGAGCCCCGGGTGGGGGTGTGGGCGGCCGCGCCGAGGGGCCCGCGCCGAGGGGCCCGCGAGACGGCCTCCCGCCCCGCTCCCCGCCGCCCCCGGCGCCCAGGCCGGCACTCACCGCGCTCGGGGCCCCGCGCTGCGGGCCGGGCCGCGCTCGGGCTCCGCCAGGCCCGCTCAGGCCCCGGTAGTGGCGGCGGTCGGGCCATTGTGCGGTGCATTGTGGGAGTCGCGCGAGCGGGCGCTCGGGCAGGGAGGGGGCGGTGCCGCGGGCTCTCGATGGTCCCGCCCGCCCGCCGGCTAGAGCGGCCGGGGCGGCGCGCGGGCGGCGCGCGGGGGCCGCCGGGAGCGGGGCGGGCGCTCGCGCCGCCTCCGCCTCCTCCTCTCGCCTCCTCCCCGCCTCCGGGCCGCCCCGGAGCCGCGCGCGCGCCCCAGCCCCGGAGCCGACGATGGGCGCCGCCGCGTGGGCATCGCCGCCCCTGCCACCGCGTGTGTCTCTCCCGCTGCTGCTGCTGTTGCTGCTGCTGCTGCTGCTGCCGCCGCCGCTCCCGGGGCTGCCCGCGGGCTCCTGGGACCCGGCCGGCTACCTGCTCTACTGCCCATGCATGGGTAAGGCCTCCCGAGCCCCCTGCTCAGACGGGGAAACTGAGGCCCAGAGAGATGCAGGCTCTCGGAGGGGCAGGGGAGAGCCCCGCGAGGGGTCGGCCCCGGTGGCCCGGCTGCTGACGAGCTCGTGTCCAGCACGTGAGAGACTCCGGGCTCGAGTCCCGCCCGAGTCGGTGCAATTAGTGGACTTGCCACCGCTTAGCCCAGCCCCGCGCTGGGAGAGCCTTTCACTCATTCAGCAAAACACTTCGAGGACACCTGGGTCCGGCCCTGTCCCCTGCTCGGGGGCCGCGGCGGGAGAGGACCGAAAACGCCGTGCCCTTAGTAGAGCTTTTTCCCTTGCAGGAGGCAGACCATAAAAGAGAAACATTGAAGAAGAAGGGGGGGAAAGTCAATACATAGTATCTTAGAAACAGAAGCAGGCGATGGGGAAATAAACGTCTGTGCAGAGAGTGTTTGGGGCGGGCCGCGGAGAGCGGTCTCCACGGGCTGGGCGGTCATTCACTAAAAGTCATCCTGAAATTCCTCCAGACTCCCTGACCATCATCGCTTGGCTCTTCCTCACCCATCCTCTCCATCTCTCCCTGCTTCTCTGATTCTCCGCCCGCAGCCACATTTCCTCCTCTCTGTTCTTGCTGCATACTCGCATCCTGCTGGCTTTGTCATTTTCCCTTTCTTCATCCTCTTCCCCCAGACCAACTCCTTATCAGTGCCACCAAGAACTCCTTCCTGGCCTCATCCCAGTTAATCTTGTTTCTCCATTACTAAACTGATCTCCTATCTCTCTTCAAATGATTGAAACTTAACCACTGTATTTGTTTGCAATATCATCCTAGAGGACCAAGACCTGTCCTCTTCTAATTTGTGTTTGGGGGCTACATTTGGTAGTGATCAGGGGACCATGTGATCGCCAGGACTCAAACCCGGGGCTCTTGCATGCAGACCCTGCACTCCCGCCCTCTGAGCCATCTCCCTTCACAGACCTTGTCCTTCACTCCTGAATCCCAGTCTGTAGCCTCAAGTGTGGTGCATGGTGGCCTCTCAGTAATATTTGTGAATGGAATGTATGCATGTCCTGCTAGGACTGGCACAAAGAAATCAGTCCTGGGGCATTCACAGGTTGAGGAAACAGCCAGGACTAACTTGGGAAATGGGAAAGGGCTCTGCAGGAAAAGTATAAACCAGAAGGAGCACAGATCCACCGTGGGAGACATACGGCTGGTGGCCGAGCATGGCGGGGTTAGTGGAGGAGTAGTGGAATAAGATGCTTCCCCCATGCTCTAGTGAGTGAAAAATAGAAGTGGAAGAACATGTCCAGGCGCGGGGAGATCAAGAGCGAAGGCTGGGGAAGAGATGGAAAGGATAGACCTTTTCTTTAACCTTTAAAGGTCTTTAACCTTTTCCTCCTGTGACCCCTTTTCACCTGGGAAATGCCGCAAGGGTGAATGCTGTCAGAATCACCTCCAGTTCATGATGCAGTTGCTTTTGAATGACTGTTTGGTCCTCGTGTCTTCAGAAACCTTCTACTAGTGCCAAGTTTTCCAAGAATTCCCACCTTCAGTTCTCAGACCCCATGTGGGTCTGTGAATTGCCCTTTAAGAATTACAGCCAGAGAGATAGAACAGTGAGTATCGTGCCTGCCTGGCACATGGCTGACCCAGGTGTGATCCCTAGTACTGCGTATAGTGTGCCCCGAGCCCCACCAGGAGTGATCGCTGAGCACAGAGCCAGAAATAGGCCATGAGTGATGATGGGTGTGGCCCTCCCCTCACCTCCAAAAATAAAAAGTAAAAGTTAAGTACTAGAGCACGGGGAAGCTACAAGGAATATGGAGTAATGAAAGCAGATGGGACAGAGTCTGGAGCATTAACCTTCAGACCCAGGAGTCTGATGCCCTGTTGCCTCTCGGTGGTGTCCTTGCCCCCTGCCCACGGCTCTGAGTCCTTTCTGAGTTCCGAGTGTCCCAGGTCTCACCTGCAATATACCACCCAGGGCGCTTCGGGAACCAGGCTGATCACTTCTTGGGCTCCCTGGCATTTGCAAAGCTGCTGAATCGTACCCTGGCTGTGCCTCCTTGGATTGAGTATCAGCACCACAAGCCTCCATTCACCAATGTAAGTATCTCCCGATGGCCTCATCTCTGACCCGCGCCCCTCCATCCTGCTGTCTCTTTTGGACTCCCGGTCCTTCCTTCTGTGCCAAACTTCTGGTCTTATACTGGCACCCCCTTTCTGCACGCTGCCTCCCATCTTCCCCCAAATAATCACGACTCTCCTGGGCGCAGGGTACTATCGCCATGTATTGCCTTCACTCCGTGAGGACTAGCGCTTTCCTCCTTGTCACTCCTTGGAAGGACACTGAGGTTTCAGCGAGGCCAAGCAACTTGCCCCGGCTCACATCATTTGTGTGTAGTAGGGCTGGAAGCCATGCCCAGGTCTGTGTGGTTTCAGAGCCCGTGACCCAGGCTGATGTCTCCGTTTCCAACCCTGCCTGGTCTCACCCTCTGTGCATCCCACAGTTCAAGGGTGATTGGTGCTATTATCCACTTTGGGCTTTTGTTCCCCCCACCCTTCCCCTTCCTTGTTGCCCCAGTGACCAGAGCCGGGGTGGGGGTGGGGGAGTTACACACCCCTGACTAGGGTTCTCATTTGCTTGTGGTTCTTGCAAGGGGTTGTGCACTTTAATTGCAGTGTTTGCCAACCTGCGCATGCGGGGTCACGGTCCTGCCCACAGTGCTCACCGTGCTTGCCAGGAGTCGCACACACTTGAGTTATGGTGCTGGCACTGGTCTGCTGCGTTGGCTGGAGATCACATGCTTGTTGCAGCATCGGGGGTCCCCAAGTTGCAGAGCCTCTGCGCCCGGCTCTCTGGATGCTGTCAGCACTGAGGAGCAAGCTCAGACCATGAGGCTTTCCAGCAGGCAATGGCTGCTACTGGGCCATCTCCCACCTCTGGGGTCCCTTCTATCACAGTCCCTCCACTCCCCTCCCTTCCCCTTCTCTCCTCTCCCCTTCCGTCCTCCCCCCTCCCCTTTACTCCCCTTCCCCTTTTCCCCCTCCCCTTCCCTCCCCTTCTCCCTCCTCCTCCCCTTCCCCTTCATTTTTCCTCATTATTGATGTGTGCATGCAATGTTCAGCACTCAGTTGCGCTCTCTCTCTCTCTCTCTCACACACACATACACACACACACACACACACACGGTTGTGCTCCTTGCACATTTAGTTGTGTTCCCCGAGACCCAGATCCTTGTAGCTGTGAGTGCACGTGTACTCACCAGCATTGCCGTCTTTTGCTCATGCTTGCCAGGGGTCTCTGCAGTGCACCCACACCTGCTTCCTGGGCTCTCACTCCTGGTCGCTGTGCTTGCACATCTGTCTTCAGTTGGCCATGCTCAGGCTCGCACACACCTGTCTGAGGTGCAGCTGGACATTGTGCCGGGCTTGGCACACATGGTGGAGCAAGGATGGGACTCCAGGCCTCACACGCAGCAAGCGCCCCACCACTGAGCCGGTCCCTCGACCCGCGCTCCCCATGATCAGGTGGTTTTGATTTTTGAACCATATCTGGTAGTGCTCAGGGCTTATCCTGGCTCTCTGCTCAGGGATTACCCCTGGTGGGGCTCAAGAGACTTTATGCAGTGCCCAGGATCAAACTCATGCCAGCCACGTACAGCGCAAATGCTCTATCGTTTGTACTATCTCTCCAGCCCCCCCCATAATCCGTTTTGGAGGAGGAATTGAAGCTCAGCCGAATTAATAAGGTACCCAAAGCCACAAGCCCAGGTGGTCTGGCTCCAGTGTCACCTGTCAGTCACTCTGTCAAGGGACTTTTGGCTCGGCGTCTGCCAGCTCCTTGCTTGTTGTTTGTGTTCCTCACTGGTCCTGCGTGTCATTTGCTTGTTTCATTCCATTTTGTTTTGCTTGTTGTTGTTGTTGTTGCTGCTGCTCTTTTGGGTCACACCTGCCTCTGCACTCAGGAATCACTCCTGATGGTGCTCGGGGGACCATATGAGATGCTGGGGATCGAACCCAAGTCGGCCCCATGCAAGGCAAACTCCCCGCCCGCTGTGCTATCGCTCCGGCCCTGTTTTGCTTTTTTGTTCCATTTTGTGGACACACCTGGTGGTGCTCTGGAGATCACGTGGAGCTGGCAATGGAGTCAGGGCCTCTCACAGGCAAAGCCTGTGCTCCAGTCCTTTGAACTGTCTGCCTGGCCCCATCTCTGTTTGCTCTGAATGCAACAGGGGACCCAATAGAAGGAACAGAATTCATATTTAATAAATTAACTTTAAAAGTTTTTAATAATCAGGGCTGGAGCCATAATACAGAGGGGTGAAGAGCTTCCCTTACAGGCAGCTGACCTGGGTGTGATCCCTGGCAAGCACATGTGTTCCCCTGAGCCCACCAGGAGTGATCTGTGAGCACAGAGCCAGGAGTAAGCCCTGAGTAGCCCTGGGTATGACCCAAAACTGAACAAAAACCAAAAGAAAAAAAAGTTTTTAATGAACTTTTAAAAATTCCCTCCAAGACTGTGATCATCCTAACCACCTCTCCTCCGCAAAGGTTCCCTTTCCCCTCTGCATGTTTAGGGAGGTCATTAAGAAGTAGAAGTTGTGGGGCTGGAGCCATAGCACAGTGGATAGGGCATTTGCCTTGCACATGGCCGACCCGGGTTTAATCCCAGGCGTCCCATCTAGTCCCCCGAGCACTGCCAGGAGTAATTCCTGAGTCAGAACCAGGAGCATCGATCCCTGAGCATCACTGGGTGTGACACAAAAAGAAAAAAAAAGAAGAAGTTGATGGGGGGTGGGAGGGATACTGGGATCAGTGGTGGTGGAGAATGGGCACTGGTGGGGGGGATGGGTATTCGATCATTGTATAACTGAAACCCAAGCACAAAAATTTGTAAGTCTACAACTGTACCTCATGGTGTTTCACTAATAAAAATAATAAAAAAAAAAGAAGTAGAAATTGAAAGCCAGGAAGATCACAGCCTGGCTACTCTGCTGACTGGCTGTCCGCAGAGCTGGGCAGATGCTTGAGCTCTTCGTGCCTCAGTCTCCTCTCCCTTCAGACAGGCTGCTTGTAATTGTTACCTCCTGCCCGCATGAGCTAATGATTGTGGCATGCCTTGATGCCATCCATGCGCCTCCCTCCCAGAACCAGCTGAGGTGAGAAGTGCTGAGAGACAGGAAGTGCTCTGTTGCTGCCATCCCAGAGGCAGTGAGGTTTGGCTGTTCTCCTTTGGGCACTGCCTCGTCATCTCTCTCTGGCCGCTTAGCTCTCGCTTGCTTTGCCTTCTCAGTCAAGAGTCTCTGGGAGGTTCCCGCTCTGGCCTGCTGCAGGTGCTTAGTGGCCCCGGGGAGCTTCCCGTTCCCACTGGGACCGTTCTCTCTGATGTCACCAGGGACCTGAGAGTTGCCAAATCCTTGTTGCTATTGTTGCTGTGTGATGGCTGGAGGTCAGGCCCAGTTGTTGCCATGCCCACAGCCTTGGTTGTGCCCTTCACCTACTATTAGCTCTTGACTCACCTTTAGGTTGCACTATTCGACTATGGAGCTCACAACAGCTCAGCTACAGTGCTCACTGAGGGTGGCGCTTTTTTTTTTTTTTTTTTGCTTTTTGGGTCACACCCAGCGATGCACACGAGTTACTCCTGGTTCATGCACTCAGGAATTACTCCTGGCGGGGCTCGGGGGACCATATGGGGTGCTGGGAATCGAACCTAGGTTGGCTGCGTGCAAGGCAAACACCCTACCCGCTGTGCTGTTGCTCCAGCCCCTGAGGGTGGCGCATTTAAGGGTGGTGTGCACAGCCTTTTCCTTTCCCTTCCCCCCACCTCCACAGTGGTTAGGCGGCAGGGGGCATGGGGATAGAAGCTGGGGCTCCCACATGGAAGCGTGCTCTAGAGCCCTTGATGCCTTCTCTCTAGCCTCATGCATTCTCAGTGGTGGGGTTCTGGAGATCACACACTGTGCTGTGGCACTGGCGATCCCAAACAGTGGAGCTGCTGAGGTCACACTTAGATGATTTGGGGGTTCCTAGGAGAGAAGTCTGAGTCTCACTCCTCCCGTGCTTGCAAGGCGGGTGATCTGTTGGCTGAGCTGTCCCCTGGCCCTTCCTTTGAAGTCTTTATCTTAGTAGATCCCCTGGTGGCACCTGCTCCCGTGAGCTTCCCTCCTTCCCATTCTTCCCCGCTCCCCAGCATCACCTGGTATTGCTCCAGCCCTGGCCCTTTAGCCTCTTCCTATTGTGCTGTACGGTATTTGCTTGGCTCTGGGTTTCTGTTGACTCCACTATTCCCCCATGCACCTCCCTGATTGATCTGTGTCCAGAGAAACAGGCCTGTTTTTCTAACTCCTAGGCCCTGAGTCTTCTTGGATGTTGCACAGAAAATCTCAGCTTCGCAAAGCCAGCACTGAACTTGCCATCTTTCCCCACCCACTTGCCTCATGTCCTGTATTCCCAGCCCGGGTTTGGCCCCTCCAGTCACCTGGGTACCCAGCCCAAGGCACCTATAAGCCTAGTGAGGCTAAATGTTTCCCCCGCCTCCCTTTACATCTTCTAACTGCCTCATGCCTAATCCATCTCTCGATTGGACCTGTAGAGTGGCTCAGAATATATGCTGAATAAGTGTGTGAACAGGTAAAGGCATCGGTGCCGTATGCCCCTAAGCCCTGTCCCCACTGTATCTTACCATCAGTTCCCTCTTTTCTCTGCTGCCAGCGTAATCTTTCAGAGAGGTGAATCTTCCCAGTGGTGGAGGCCCAGCGTTCCATCCCTAGCAACAAAAGAAAAGGAAAATCTCATTATTTCAGTTTAAAACCCTTCTGTAGTTGCTAACAAGTGAAGCTTCCTGAAGCTTGTTCTTCAGAGCTCCAACAGCTTGTCTGTGGAAAGAGTCAGTGATGCAGATAGTTTGGGAAACTGTTCTTGATTCTCTGTCTCTCCCCAATTGGAGTTCCAGGACCAGGGATGTAGCTCAATGGTAAAGCACTTGCCTTGCATATGGAAAGCCCTGGATTCAGTTCCCCGCAGTGCAAAATTGGTAAAAAAAAAAAAAAAAAAAAAAAAAACCGAAGATCCAAAATGTACCAGCATTTTGCTTTTTTTTTTGGGTCACGCCCAGCGATGCACAAGGGTTACTCCTGGTTCTGCACTCAGGAGTTATTCCTGGCGGTGCTCAGGGGACCATATGGAATGCTGGGAATCGAACGTGGGTCGGCCGCGTGCAAGTCAAACGCCCTACTCACCGTGCTATCTCTCCAGCCCCTCTACCAGCATTTTGAAGGTCCTGAGAAGTCCTGTGTAGTCAAGAATCGGGCTGTATTCCCCAGGCCTGCTCAACTTGAGAGCATTTTCACTGCAGGACTCTTTCTCCGCTGGAACTTGTGGAATGTGTTTGGGAAACGCTAGGCTGTACGATAAAGTTCAGTTTGTGCTCCACGGTGTCTTAAGCCTGTTAGACCTAGAAAAATGCAAAGAGAAGTACAATCAGTAGTCATGCAGTTACCTCTGTACAGTTGGTATTCATGCAGTGGGATAACCGTTAGCGTTTTCTCACCTTTGCTTTATCTTTTTTTATAAGAAATAAATAAGATGGGACAGCTAAAGTCATTAAAAGATTCAAATCTCTCTCGTCTTCTCAGGCCAATCCTAGTGCCTCCCATACCATAGAGGCAACCTCCTTCTGAGTTGATTGCCTTTGGTGTGACACTTTCCAACTTCTGTCTTATAGTTCATGACACTGAGCATCCTTTTCTTTTTTTCTTTCTTGTTCCCAAGTTACACTTCTACCACCAGTTCATTTCCTTGCATCCTATTTTTGTTTCTTTCTTGGTCCAAACCCGGCAGTGCTCATGGGTTACTTCTGGCTCTGCACTTCGGAATTACTCCTAACTGTACTTGCGGGACCACATGGGATGGCAGGAATTGAATCTGTGTTGGTCGCATGCAAGCAAGTGCCCTACCTGCTGTACTATCGCTCTGGTCCCTTCTTGCATTCTTTCCCATAACTATCATCAGACTTTTCAATTTTTGCTGGTATCATGAGTGAGAAATGAATCATTGCCATTTGCTTTTTCCTGTTAGTGAAGTGGCATGTCTTTTGCGTGTTTTGGCTTATTTGGGTTTCCTTTGGTGTGAGTTGATCTCTCCTTCCCTTTGCCATATTTTCTCTTGTGTCATTTGTCTTTTTCCTTACAGAAAAGGATCCACATGTTTTTTTTTTCCTTATAGAAAAGCATATCGGTGTCTCTCGCACAGTTTTGAATGCAAGAGGTACCGCTATATTCTCTAGTTTTGCAGATATCTTTTCCAGCCTATTTCCGTCCTCACTGGTATCTTTTGCCAAAAGTTTGTCATTAGCATGTAGCACAGGCTGCCTGGTTCTTGGCATACAATGTAATGCTGATAAGTGTCTCTGCCCTTCCTTTATCCCCTCTTCCTGTAGCTGCATGTGCCCTACCAGAAGTACTTCAAGCTGGAGCCTCTCCAGGCCTACCACCGGGTCATCAGCCTGGAAGACTTCATGGAGAAGCTGGCCCCCACCCACTGGCCGCCCGAGAGGCGGGTGGCATACTGCTTTGAGGTGGCAGCCCAGAGAAGCCCGGATAAGAAAACATGCCCCATGAAGGTGGGTCTGGGCAGGACCGTTTCTGCCTGTCTCATGTCCTGCGGGCCCTTGAGAGGCTGAGTGATGACAAAATGTGGGCGAGGGCACCAGGAGAGCTTAGAGGAGAGAGTTTGAGATTTCAGTCCCAATTCTGAGCTGCTGTCATCTCCTGGGCAGGGGACTTGGCTTCCTCTGGGCTTTTGCTTCTGCCTTTGAAGTCACGATGTCAGTGCCTGCTCTGGCTTGCCCACCACGTATCACGAAAGCTGGGTGTCAGGGCTCGGTGCTTGGTGCAGGGCAGTTGGCAGTCGTCGGTGATGCTCACTTAGCTCTTCCTGGGGCCTGCTGCCATGCGGAGCGGTGCCCACGCTCATCATTGGCGTCTCACTCTCCTCGAGGAAAAGACTAGCAATATCCTCGTTTTATTTATTTATTTTTGGTTTTGTTGTTTGGGGCCACATCAGGTGGTGTTCACGGCTTCCATCTGGCGCTGTACTCAGGGATCACTCCTGGCGGGGCTCAGGGTGCTGGGAATCAAACCTAGGTCCGCTTTGTGCAAGGCAAGCACCCTACCTGCTATACTATCTCTACAGCGGGTATCCCCTTTTCCCCCCGTTTTATAGAGAGAGCTCTAAGTGCAATACAGACTGATTTTTATGTGTGTGTGTTTGTGTGTATAAAACGATATATATATACATATATATATATATATATATATATATATATATATAAAATGGCGGAGTCATACCACAGCGGGTAAGGCGTTTGCCTTGCACACGGCCAACCTGGGTTCGATTCCTCCGACCCTCTCGGAGAGCCCGGGAAGCTACTGAGAGTATCCCTCCCCGATGACAAAGCCTGGCAAGCTCCCCGTGGTGCATTTGACATGCCAAAAATAGTAATAACAAGTCTCACAATGGGGACATTACTGGTGCCTGCTAGAGCAAATTGATGAACAACGGGAGGACAGTGCTACAGTACTATATATAAAACGTTATTGGTAGGTGGATCATGGTCTCCCAGATGGTGTTCAGGAGGCCCAGGGGCCCGTCACAGCAATTCTCAGCCCATCCTCCTGGTTGTCCAGACCCAAGAATGGGGTGCTGCTCTAGTCCTGCTATGTCGGGCTGGGATTACCTGGGCCATCCCGGTGGTGCTTGGGGGCCTCCAGAGATGCTTCAGGGACTGTGTGGTACCAGGAATCAAACCCAGACCAGCCACAAGCAAGGCCTGTGCCTCAGCCCTTGTCCTATCCATCCAGCACCTATGTGATTAGGTTACCCCTGGCCTCGTGGCGGTGGAGCTGGGGTTCAGCCTTTCCTACACTGATGCCATGTTCACCCTCTTGCAGCGTTCCTACCTCTCAGCAGGGAGAAACGTGTGGGTTTCTGGCAGTTTGAGAATAAGACAATCCCCAAGTGGCCTCCCGTGTCTAGAGCTAGGGAGGGTGGTGGGAAGCACGAGGCATTTGAGGAAGAAGAGCTGGCTCCCAGCCTTGACACTGCCCTCCCCTGCCATGTGACCTTCAGCAAACACCCTCACCTGTCTGGACCCTGCTTTCGCCGTGAAAAGAAGGGCCTTGAGGGTCTCATCTTCAGCGCCTCTCCAAAGCTCTTACTCCAGAGAGTCCCACACTTATCCGGCCCGCTGTCCTCTCTTCAGGAGAAAAACAACTCCAGTGCTCCTCTGGAGATCTACCTTCTTTAAATGAAAAACAGAAAGTGCCCCCACCACCCCCTCCCCAAGCCGCACCCAAGACTACTGACTCCTGCCACCTCTGAATCATCCCAGCTCCCCCTGGGGGCAATATCACCCGCTTTGGGAAAGGCTGTTCTAATCCATGGCCCCAAATTGATGAACTGCTTCCTCCCCAGACACTCCCAGTGCTGCAGGGTCAGGGGCTGGTGAACAGGAGCATCGCTTCCCGACACTGGGATGGGCATCTCCTGCTGGAACCCAGACCGCAGGGCACACGCCCCCTCAGGCAGAGAACCTCTTTCTCTTTCTGTTTCCTGCTGAGGCTGCCCCAAGGGTAGGGCACCACCACGACCACCCTGACAGTGCTCGGAGGCCCCCAGGCCTCTACCCATGGTATCTTGGTGCTCAGCGGGCCGAGCGGTGCTGGGAATTGAACTCACAGCCTCACGCAGGCTAGGCATGTGTTCTCCTGGACCTCTGAGGTCTATTTCAGTGCGAATCAAATTGTTCTCCCATCCACTTGCTCCCTTCCTATCGGGCTGTCCCTTCAGTGCCCTCAGTAAGCCTGTGACCATCCTCTTTCTGCAGGAAGGAAACCCCTTTGGGCCGTTCTGGGATCAGTTTCAAGTGAGCTTCAACCAGTCAGAGCTTTTTTCAGGCATTTCCTTCAGCGCATCCTACAAGGACCAATGGATCCAGAGGTACCTGGAGGGGCCGGCGGTGATGGGTCTCGGAGAGGGGCATGGGGAGCCGTGGGCAGGGAGCAGCGTGCTAGCACTAATCCTTCTACCACACCTTGATGAGACCAAAGGTATGGCTCTGTGTCTGTTGAACTTGGGATCCAGTGAGATCCGTCCCCACCTCAGCGCCTGATACCGTGGAACATTGACCCGCCGTGAGGTTGAGCAAGAGTTTATCAGCCGATAAAGGATGTCATAAAAAGAGGCTTGTGCAGTCACATGAATCTTGATTTCCTCCTCGAGGCGTGAGAATCACTCCCCGAGTCACCTTCCCCTTCACAAGGTGAAAATTGGAAGCAGCTTCTAGAGACGAACGGGTGACTGCAGGCGCAGACTGAGAAATGATGTCATCCTGATAATAATTGGATGTGCTTTATTAAGTACACTCCAGTATGCCCTATTAAAAAAAATAGGTTAGCAGGACACTAGCACATACTGTGAAATATTTATGGAGCGTCTGTCATGTATGAGACATAGTACTCAAAGACCAGAGGCGATATATATAAAAATGAGGAAGACCCAGCCCCGCCTTCAGACAACTGCAGTCGAGATAGGCTGATCATCGCCTGAACAGTGCTGTGATCCTTGATGCCTGTAGTCTGGCGAGGTGGGGGTGTGAGCTGTGAAGTCCGCCATGGGCTGGGAACCGTGTGGAGTTTATGAATTCGTGAAGAATCACATTGCTTGGTATTTAATGGGCCAAAGATAGGCTGGTGTGAGAAATGAACCCAGCTTGGGAAGACAGATCTGCACTCAGTCCCAGTCCTGCTTCTTCCCCGGGGGAGCCTGAGCCGGCATGTCCAGTTGTCTGTCTGGTCTGAGTGTCCCCGTGGAAGAATGGGGAGGAGAATTCCCTTGTGGCTGCAGCGCACGGCACACAGCCAGGGCCCAGCTAGCGTTTGCTGTGACTGTTGTCCATGTGCTCTGTTTCGTCAGAGCCTTCAAGATGTTTCCCCAAGCGGCTCCTCGAACCCATCTCCACTAGGTGAGGAAACCGGAGCTGCTAGAAGTTAATGGACAAGCCAAGTCAGGCAGTGGTTGAGGAGGCTGTTGGGGCTGGGGTCTTTCTGGAAGCGTTTTAATAGATCGTAAAAGCTAATGTTTAACTTGTGCCCATGGTGTGCCAGAGATGGGTCTTAAGTTTTCACGTCGTTGTGTCTCCTAAGGTAATCACTCATTTAATCCTCCCGCAAATCTGTGGGGCAGGTGTTCTTGTCATAAGGAAATTGAGGCCCAGAGGAGTGGCATCACTAGCTCAAGGTCATGGAGCTTGAGGTGGATGATGTGGGATTTGATCCTGACTCCAGAGTACTCCGTGATCAGCCCTGAAGCAGAGAGCCATTCCTTAGCAGCTCCAGGTCCTGCTTGGTTTGTGTGTTTGGAGCTGGGAGGGGGTGGGCCATACCCAGTGGTGCTCAAGGCTCCGTGCTCAGGGACCACTCTAGGCAGTGCGTGGCGGGAACCGTAGGTCGTGCTCTGAACCAGGGTTGGCCCTGTGCGAGGCCAGCACCTTAGCACATCCTGTCTCTCCGGCCCCAGTTCCTTTGGGACTTGCCTGCAGAACTAGTTCGTGAGCCAGTGACCGAGACCGCTGAGAAACGAAGGTCCAAGTGCCCCTCATTACGGCTTAGGTGGGCAATCCCGTTCGATTGGTTTTCTTGGTTCTCCGGTGGCGTGCGGTGAGGCTGTCCTCACCATGCGGCTTCTTGCCGAGCCCTCACTTGTTGGTGATGCAGTGAGGAACCCCGGAGCCTCAGATGGGCTTTGGTTTCTGCAGAGGACCCCACCCTCATGACCTCAGCTAGATCTGACGGCTTCCCATGGCTGCGCCTCCTGGCTCCATGGCACGGGGATGAGGCTTCGGAATAACTAGGGTGGAAACTTTGGGGGTGCAGGGTGTAAACCTGCAGCCAGAGGGGGGGCAGAACCCTTTCTGAGGGCTGGTGGAAAGGGGGTTCTTCATGGTGGGACATCAGAAGCAAGACAGGGAGGGGCAAGCTTGGTGTGTGTGTGTGTGTGTGTGTGTGTGTGTGTGTGTGTGTGTAGCAGAATGCAGGGTGTTCCCCTCCCGGCTGTTGCTGCATAATAAACCTCTCCCAGACTCAGTGACTCAGCCTTAGCTCCGTGGGTCGGCTCTTTTGTTTGTTTTCTTGATGAAATCCCAACTGTACAGCATTTCGGTCTACATTAAACATCTCATTTCTTGGCATGAATGCCCTTTCGAATCCCCACCACAGGTCTGGTGGAAGATTTTGTTTTGTTTTGTTTTGTTTTGTTTTGTTTGGAAGCCACACCAGGCGGTGCTCAGGGCTCACTCCTGGCTCTGCGCTATCCAGGGATAGTTCCTGGTGGGGTTCTGTGAACTATATGGCATGCCAGAGATTGAACCCAGCTTGGCCTCATGCTATCACACTGGTCCCAGAATTTTATTTATTTATTTTAATAATAAAGGAAATGAAATTTACTCAGAGTCTCGGCACCCTTCCAAAAACACTGAGCATTTTACTGACTCTCCTTCCACTCCAGGCCAGTTCTATCTGTTTTGGTTTTGAGCCAAACCTGTGATGTGCTCCTTGCGGCCAGGGGTCAGGCTCAGGCTTCCATATGCAAAGCTCGTACCTGGCTGGCCTGTGTCTGATCCCCGGCACCCCATGTGGTATGAGCCATGTGAGCCCCACCAGGAGTGACCCCTGAGCGCAGAGCCCAGAGTAAGCCCCGAGTACCGCTGGGCATGGTTGCCCCCACCCCCCAAAACATAGCATGCTCTCCAGTGCTTTGAACTGTCTCCCTGTCCCATCTCCAGACATTGTTTTGCTTTGTTTTGTTTTGTTTTTATGGGGGCAGGGGCTTATATCTGGACCAGACCCTTCTGAGCGCTCTCGGCTCTGAGCTCAGGACCCCTAGCAGTGCATGGGGACCATATGTAGCAACCTCTCCCACAGCAAAGCACGTTACCTCCAGGAGGACACTAATCTCGACATCTCAATAAGAGCATAAACTCTGGTTTCCCTTTTCCACTCTTCCTGGCAAGATCTCTGAGCTCATTCTCGAATATTCATCATATCTCCTGTCTCTTAAGGCCTGTGCTAGTAACTGGGAACCAGAATCACCACAGCCAGCTTTGAAGACGCTTGTTGACTGGGTTGGGGAGGATGGGCGTGCAGTGTTGGAGTTAAAACAGGGCAAAGGGGGCCGGAACAATAGTACAACAGGTAGGGCATTTGCCTTGCACACAGCTGACCTGGCACAGTCCCAGACATCCCTATGTTCCTCTAAGCACCACCAGGAGCCATTCCTGAAGGCAGAACCAGGAGTAACCCTTGCATATCACTGGGTGTGATGACCCGCCCCCCCCACCAAAAAAATTTAGAAACAGAGGAAGGGGGGCCGCGGAGCCACAGTACATTAGGTAAGGACCAGCTTAGTTCTTTGAATCTCTGATCACTGAATGAGCTCTGAGCCCCTTCCCAATAGCATCTGGCAGAGGGATGGTCTTCTGCCCCAGCCCAGGTTTTAGGGGACCAAAAGCTCTTACTTCCTATCATTGGAGGCACCTTGTCAGTCTCTACTGAGCTATCATTCCGGCAGGGCTCGGGAGAGACCATATGTGGTGCTGGGGATTGAACCCAGGTCGACTGCATGCAAGGCAAGTGCCCTGCCCCCTCTACCATCTCCCCAGCCCTGAAGAGCGTGTTCTGTAGAGCCAGGCCCTCGGGCTGCAGGTGTAGGAGTCCTGGCTGACGAGGCTGCCCAGGTGCCCCCCCACCCCCGGCCCCACAGTCAGGCAGGGAGGACAGCAAAGGAAAAGTGGGGCAGGCTCCCCCTCCTCAGATCCGAGGTTCAGGAGTGGGGCCTGGGGGGGAGAAGTGTGGCAGGTGTTTGGGGAGCAAGACCTTTGGTCTAGGGGTGAAGGGCCCTGCCCGAGGCAGCCCAGTCATGTGAGAGCGAAACCACCTCTTTGTCCCGCAGGACGGGACAAGATCGGAAAACTGCTGTTCATGACTACAAATGAGAAAATCTCTAGAGGGACGAACACGAGCACGTGACCCGAGGTATCTACACAGCCCTATCTCTAAAACAGAGATGGAAATTCTTGAAATTCTGAGATGGGGCCAGAGAGATAGCACAGGGGTTAAGGTGCTTGCCTGGCAAGCAGCTGACTTCTGTTCTATCCCTGACACCACATACAGTCTCCTGAACACTGCCAGGAGTGATCCCTGAGCACAGAGTCAGGAGTAAGCCCTGACAACCCCCCCCCCAAAAAAAGAAAAAAATTGACATGAATTATAAACAATATGATAACGGTATTGTTGTTGGTGGTGGTGACACTAATAGAATTTTCTAGCTGCCAAGCATTGTTCTAAATGCTCCATTCATATTAGTCTATTAAACTTTCTCAGCAAATTAAATTGGAGCTATTAGCTTTATTTTTCGGATGAGAAAACTGAGGCACAGAATGGCTATGTCATCCACCGAAGTTAATAAATGGTCGGAGTTAGTAAATGAGTCCAGTAATTTTCACCCATGAGCGCTGGCCTGTGGGTATAAAAAGGTTCACACTGGCACAGTCAACCTTGGAACAAGGCCGCCTGGCTCTGTCCAGAAGCACACAGGATAATATCTATAAAAATAGCAAACGTGTAATTGTGCATAAAATTGCAGCATCTGGAAAGAGGAAAAAGACAGAGTAGAACTTCTGTCAGTATGTGCTTTTTTTTTTTTGGTTTGGGTTTGTTTGAGGGCTCCACCAGCAGCACTGGGTTCGGGGTGCTTCTTCCACCCTCGTGCCCAGGAATTCTCACTCCCCAGTGGTGCTCAGGAGACCTCGTGTTCCTGGAGAGCAAACCCGGATCTCCCACATGCAAACATGCTCTCCAAGCCCACTGGGCCGTCTCTGCAGCCCCCGCACATGTGTATTGTTAGAGATTATTTCCTTTAGGAAAAAAGAAACAGGTGGACCATAATAGATAAAAGTAAAAAAAAAAAAATTCAAAATTCTGAAGGACTTGAAATATTTAATTTTGTTTTATTTTGGGGGGCCGCATCCAGCAGTTCTCAGGGGTTACTTCTGGTTCTGCATTTAGGGATCACTTCTGGCAGGGTTCGGGGGACCATATGGAGTGCCATATGGAGATTAAACTCAGGCGAGCCCCCCCAAATACTTAATAATTTTGAATTGAAAATTTTGTGGAGACTATTATAGAAACACATGCTTCTTCCACCCTAGTGCCCAGGAATCCTGGCTCCCAGTGGTGCTTATAACTGCTCTTATAATGTGCAGTTATAAAAAATAAATAAAGAGATTCCACATGCCCTTTACCCAGTGTTCCCAGCGGTGACACTTTGCTGGATTGTCATGTCACAAGTAGAACGTGGTCACACTCATAATCCACCATCGTGTGCAACTTTCCTATTTTCCTTCTGCTTACATGTGTGTGTCTGTGTCTGTGTGTGTGTGTCTGTGTGTGTGTGTGTGTGTGTGTCCAGTTCTATTCCATTTTATCACTGTGTGAGTTCCTGTGCCCTCCATCGTAGTCAAGATCTATCACAACAATCCTCATGTGGCCAGTTTATTACCACACCCACCTCCCGAGGTTTCTCACTAGCCCCTGACAACACTAGTCACTTCTCCATTTTCAGCCCTCCTCACTAGCTTGTCATTTCAAAAGCACTCATCATGTGGGATCACGACGCAGTATATAATCTGTTGGAATTGGTTTTTCCGTTTGGCAGGATTTCTTTGTGGTCCATACTATCTGTTGCCGGTATCAGTCTATACCACAATAGCATTTCCTGGGACGGATGCCTGCAGTCTTTTTCACTGTTGACTTGTGGAGAGAGCTCGAGTTGTTTCCAGTTTGGGTTGTTTGGAATCAGGCAGCGACGAACCTTTATGTATGGGCTCCCTTGGGGCTGCTGTCGGCCTCTGCTTCCCAGCGTCCGAACCACAAGTTCATTTGCTGGGGCACACCGTTGGTGCAGGCCGCTTCATGAGAAACTACCCCAGTGTCTTAGAGACGCCTGTTTCATAACATTAGGTAAGGGTTTTGTCGGGCCAAGGGGAAGCATTTCAGCAAGACACGTGCAGCCACCAGGAGTTCCTGGTGCTGCAGGAGAATTCACGCCTTCCTGGGACAGACTTGGGGCTGTGCTGGCTCCAGGTTTGCTCCCATCCATTCCATCAAGGAGTGTTTCTCAAACTCTTCCATGTGCCAGAGTTTGTTCCTGGAGGCAGTGCCTCACTAAGACCAAGCCGGCCGTGCTTCCCAGGGATATTGGGATCCCACAGCAGGGCAGGGAGCCTGCTTGTCCTGCTCCCCACAGAGCCCAAGCACATGGCAGGCCGTCAGAGGGAAGGGCTGGGCATTGAGTGAAGGATTTCGGCCCGTGCACATGTTCCCTCTGGCGTATGCACTGTCCGTCGCCTGGTGTGCACAGCTGCCATGTGGGCCAAAGGGCAAAGGCTTCATCCAGACGTGCCACCCTGGAGTCAGTGAGTGCGCCCCAGCGGGAAGCATGACCTACGAAGGGCTGGAATGCTCCACAGTAACTTTGTGATTATTAAACAAGCAGCGAGGGCTATAAATTCCGCGCGGCAGGACGGCATTGTGTATCGGGCCCGCCGTCACCGCCCTGGAGTCTTATCAGCCCCCTGGCGGTTTCACAACCTGCCTCGCGTCTTGCGTGTCACCGAGGCCCCTCTGCAGGGTCTCTGGGACGTGGTGCCCTGCCATCCTTTTCCCTGTGGGATCAAGGCCAGATTCAGTGCCTCTTCTAACATCCCCTCCTTCTGTCTCCTGCCTAGATTTCCTCCGAAGGAGCATCCCGTGCTGGCCCTGCCCGGAGCCCCGGCCCAGTTCCCGGTGCTAGAAGAGCATAGAGTCCTCCAGAAGTACATGGTCTGGTCAGATGAGATGGTCAAGATGGGGGAGGCCCACATCCGTGCCCACCTCACGCGGCCCTACGTGGGCATTCACCTGCGCATTGGCTCTGACTGGGTAAAGCACCACCCCCCCTCTCCCCCCACCCCACCACCACCATCGGTTCTCGTGTCCCCGAGTAGGGTCTCTGTGTCTGTGAACTCCACAGCGGGACTCCCCGTTCAGCATGAGTCACGGCAGAGCAAGGACTTGCTCCATCCTTGGGCCTGTGTCTGTGATCCTGCCCCAAGTATGTCAGAGCGGGGATTCTCCAAGGCCGATTTGCCAGGACTCCCCTAGGCAGGCCCCGTTTGTGTCCTCGTTTGTGCCACTCTGGGTCAGGCAGTGAGTCAGGAATGAGTCTCAGCCCCAGGCTCTCCTGTCCCGGCTCAGGGCTTAGCCGGAGAAACACGAGCCTGGGAGGAGAGGTGAAGCTCACGGCAGAGGAGCCTAAATTCAGAGGCTGCTGCTTGGGTGAAGACCCCACTTTGTATAACTTCCTGTGAGAAAAACTGGCCCCAGGCCAGAGCAGTAGTAGGTAGGGCGCTTGCCTGGCATGCAGCTGACCCAGGTTTGATCCCCAGCACCCCATATTGTTCCCTGAGCCTGCGAGGAGTCACCCCTGAGCACAGAGCCAGAGGTAATCCTTGATCATGGCCAGGTATGGCCAAAAACCAAATAAATAAATAAATAAAACAACTGGACCCATGTAGACAAGCTCCCTCATGTACCTAAGAATATGAATGTGCATGTGAAGAGAACTTGTTGAAGACGTGAAAACTACTAAGTATAGAAATTAGACCAAAATTCCAGTTAAGGAAGTAATCAAACATTTATTTACCCACCAGATTCCCTTCTGCCTCCCTCCGGCTTCCACAAAGGAAATAGGCCAGGCCCAGAGTATTTTATGAGTGGTTTAAGCCAGACCTTCAAGGAATAGATAGCTCTTATCTGTATTTTCCTAGAACATAAAAAGATATAATATGCTAATTTTTTAATGAAGCAAGCATTATATGAATACCAAGCTCAGATAAGGTCAGTTCAGAAAATTATAGCCCATTATCGCAAACTTAGATCATAAGAAAAAATAATCTTAGTAAGGAAAAACCCAGTGACATGTTCAAGAGCCTTACAAGTCAACTTTGTCCGTGGAAGGCAGTGAAATTTCTTATATCAACACCCAGCAAAGAAAAATCATGTAGTCACCTCAGTTGAAGCCAAGAAAATATTTGATAAAAGTCAACACCCATTCATGATGGGGGGTGGGGGGTGGGGGTGGACTTGGGCGAACCAGGAATAGAAAGGTCCCACCTTAACTTGATAAAGGTTATCTCACGCAAACCCACTGCAAACATGTGCTTCGTGAGAGTTATCAGGAATGTCCCCACTGAAGCCAGAGATCAGATAAGGCTGCCCATTATAACCCCTGACTGCAGAATTCTACTGCAAGGCCCAGATACCGCAGTCAGGCCAAGAAAACAAATTGTCATCAGAAGCCCATGCCCCACTCCCCAGAAAGAAAGGGCCTCTGTTACCACCCTGCACGCATCTTCCTCTTTCCTCCCCTTGGGCTTTTGTGAACAACAGTTGGGCTCATCCAGCAGCCACTGCCTTCACCCCCAGCCCCCGTATCAGTTACTGCTTCCGGGGAGGCGGGGGGAGGGGGTGCTTCTTATCATTCGCTGTGTCCCCGCAGAAGAACGCGTGTGCCATGCTGAAGGACGGCAGCGCAGGCTCCCACTTCATGGCGTCGCCCCAGTGCGTGGGCTACCACCGCAGCACGGCCGCCCCGCTCACCCCGACCATGTGCCTCCCGGACCTGAAGGAGATCAGGCGGGCGCTGCAGCTCTGGGTGGAGGCCGTCGGCGCCCAGTCGGTCTACGTCGCCACGGACTCCGAGAGCTACGTGCCCGAGATCCAGCAACTCTTCAAGGGGAAGGTAGGCCCAGCCCCGGTGGGACCCCATCCCCCACGATCTAGCCCTCGACCTCCAAGTAGGATGATTTTCTTGACCAGCCAGCTCCTCCTCCAACTCTGACCCTTCCTTCAGAGCCCAGCTCAGCACCTCTGCACAGTGACCCTCCAGGCTGCCCTCGGCCTTTGTTACCAGGGCAGCATCACGGCCCTTCCTCGCATCTGATGCCCTTCCTAGTTTATGTGAGGCCCGTGCTGAAACACACCTGCTGGGCCATAGTGATAGTACAGTGGGTAGGGTGTTTGCCTTGCATGCAGTCAACCCGGGTTCAATCCCCAACACCTGCTACAATCCCCCTGAGCCTTCCAGGAGTGATCCCTGAACACAGAGCCAGGAGTGAGCCCTGAGCATTGCTAGGTGTGGCCCAAAAAAAACAGCAAGAAAAGATTCCAGCCCCCCCCCCCCCCCCACACACACACACACTAGAAAAATACATTTGTCTCTTCTCCCTCCTCCCTCCGCTTCCCTACCCCCTACTCCCCACCCCCAAGTACTGGCTCCCTGCTGGCAGGATTCACAGTTCACACAGTTAGATTTCTCTGTGTCTCCTGGTTCTTTGGCCGCCCCAGGCCTTGCAGGCCTCAATGTCTAAGTACCTGACACACCACGAACACTTCTCAGATGCCTGTTGGTTCAGGCGAGCAGGAGTGGGCCCTGGCAGGGCCAGAGAGATGGTACAGCTGGGAGGGTGCGTGCCTTCACCCAGCAGACGCAGGTTTGATCCCCAGCATCCCATAGGGTCCCCCAGGCCCTCCAGGAGTGACCCCTAAACAACAACAGCCGAAAGAGTGGGCCCTTGCAAGCTGGGGTCCGGCGCAGAGGGTGGGAGCTCCTGCCGAGCTTCATGGCCATTGTCCCCCACATACCCAGCAGGAGGTGGCCCCCAGCACAGTGTGGGTTCTGGCTGGAGAACCTGTGGAGCAGAGGGAGGGCGAAGAGGAACTTGGGAGCCAGGGCACCCCCGGCCTCTCCGTGCCGCCCGCCTGGGCTGCTGCTTCCTGTCTGCGAGATGGGCCTGAGATAGTGTCTATCTCTCAGCGCCATTCTGGAGATCAGGGATACAGACTTCCCAAGTGTCTGAGCACAGATAAGGGCTCAGGAAAGTAGCCTTCCTGGGGCGAGAGGGTGCTGGATGGACAAAGGGCAGAGCAGCGCTGGGCCTCGGGCCAGGCGCGCAAGGAGGAATGGCCTGTGTGCTGCTGGAACAGTGACGAGCAGGGAAGGAGGTGTCTGGCAAGCCATCCGACTGGTTTTTTGGTTTGTTTTTGTTTGGGGGCCACACCCAGTGGTGCTCAGGGCTTACTCCTGACTGCAGTCAGGGATCACTTCTGGTGGGGCTCCGGGGACCATATGGGGTGCCAGAGATTAAACCCAGGTCTGCCACCTGTGAGCCCTGTACTCTCTCCAGCCCCCTTAGAGATCAGGCCCGTGGACCGAATGCAAGCCCTAAGTGATTGTGGGGGCATATGGCCGTGTGTGTGTGTGTGTGTGTATGTGTGTGTGTGGCGGGGGTCTTCCTGTTTCTCTTTACCCCCGAGACAGGCGGGAAGGACCAGGAGGGCCATGTCAGGGCCTTTTGGTCTCCCAACTGCCCTTAAAAGAAAACCATCAACTGGGAGTTTCTCCCCCCCCCCCCCCCAACCCCTCCATTTTATAGCTGAGGAAAACAAAGTTGTAAGGAGGCTCAGATTTACCCTCAAGGCCTCCCAGCTAATTACAGTGGGCCTGACACTGAACCGGTAAGTTTCAGGATGTGGGTGGAATCTTTCTGGGGATTTTAGCCACTAAACCGGTAGAATTGCTTTGCTGCCAACCGAGTGGCAAGAAGGTGATCTTGGCTACATCAGAAATCTCTGTGTGACAGCACAGCACTTTCAGCCCCGATTCTGCTCTGTGCTGAAGCCTTTGGAGAGTCCCAGGGAGTTTTTTGTGAGTTGTTTTGTTTTTTTTTCTTTTTTTTTAGAGTTGTAACACCTTCAGCTTCTGCCATTTTCTATTTCCTGTTCCTGTCACTGCTCTCACCCTTTGTTGCTTCTCGGTCCCTTCTCTGGGCGCGTAGGGCATCCCCTTCCTTCCGAGCAAAGCGTCTTCTCTCAGGCTGGACCCGGGGTCAGCGGGATGTGGTCATCCCTGGGATCCCCTGCCTCCCTCAGGAGAAGAGCCTGCAGAGATCTATAATACAGGTCTCAAGAGAGATCCAGGAGTGGGGGCGGGTGGGGGGTGGGGTTGTCATTCATTCATTTGGCCACTCAGCCACTCCAGTTAAAGAGGTGAGTCCCCACCAGCAGTGACAGTCGGGCACAGGAGACAGGCATTCGTCCCAGAATCACCAAGGAGTCACACTTGCAGTCAGTGTTACCTGCTCAGGAGTCAGGGATGTGGTTGGGTGAGTGTATTGACGGGCAGAGGACCCTGGCCAGGGAGGGGTCTGGAGGCCAGGAAGGGTCTCTCCAGAGAGGGAAGACTCAGCTCCAGAGGAAGGATTAAGGAGGTGTTAACCAAGCAGACAAGCGTCCCCAGATAGAGGGAGAGACATAAGAGCCGAGCGGGGGGCATCTGATAGGTTGGAGGTGGAACCCACTAAGGGATAGGGGAGATCTGAAGGCTGTGGAGGGTGGTGGACGATGACCTTGTGGTCCTCATTCAAGATCCACTCTCTTGGGGCTAGAGTGATAGTACAGTGGTTAGGGCACTTGCCTTAAATGCTGCTGATCGTGGACCGTGGTCCAATTCCTGGTCCCCCAAGTAATCCCTGAGCATCATCCGGTGTGATACCCCCCCTCAAAAAAAAAATCCAAAACTACCACTTGGGGACTAGGGAGATAGTACAGGAGTTAAAGCATTTGCCTTGCATGTGTTGTGGCATCAGTGGTGACCCTGGTTCAAGTCCCCAACACCACATAGGGTCACCCCACCAAAAAATGAAAAATGAATAAATGGTTCCCTCTGGCTGATCTGAGACTAGAGTGGGAGAGGCAGGAAGATACAGGGCCAGAGGCAAGCGGCCGTCTGGCTGTTCTCAGGGAGGGGTGAGCCTGAGGAGAAGGTTGCGCCTTTGTCCATCGTCTTGGGAAGAGGATGGACAGGCCTATGGGCTCCCTGGCCTCTGGGCAGCAGAAGCAGATGAGCAGGGTGCTGTATGGTCACATCGTGGCTTGGGGGTCCCAGCTTGTTGGGCTTAGCTTCTCGAGACAGGTGCTGGGGTCTTCTAGGTCTGGTAGGGAAGGAGAGGGAGGGAGAAGGCACTCCAGGCCCAGGGATTCCACGTGCGCTGCTCAGAGCTAATCCGCAGAGGCAGACGGTAGAGAACAGCCTGGGGTGGGGACCCAGGCAGCTGCAGGCTCAGCCCCACACCTGCATCCTCTGCGAGCTTCCTTTTGTGTGTCTGACTGGTCAGAGGAAGGGGGCTGGGGGGCTCAGAGTGCCTGCAGGCCCGGCCCCGTAGCTCCTGGGCCCTGGGCACCATGGCCGTGACACACTCCGTCTTGCAGGTGAAGGTGGTGGCCCTGAAGCCTGAGGTGGCTCAAATCGACCTGTACATCCTCGGCCGAGCTGACCACTTTATCGGCAACTGCGTCTCCTCCTTCACTGCCTTCGTGAAGCGGGAGCGGGACCTCCAGGGCAGGCCGTCCTCTTTCTTCGGCATGGACAGCCCCCCGCAGCTGCGGGATGAGTTCTGACCAGGTCTGACCTGGCCCCTCTGGCCAGGCCTCCCGGGACTGATCCACAAGGGAGCACACGCCCCCCCACTGCCTGTCAGCCCTGGAGAAAAGTCACCAGGGACTTCCTGGAGGAGGAAGACCAGCCGTCTCCCAGGACACAGATGTCCACACTCAGGCAGCCCACGCACACGTCTCCCTGCCACCTGCCTCACATGCTTTCCGTGTCTCTCGTGGGCCTGTCTCACCAGAGCACGGCTGTGCGGCCTCTGCCTTCTTCTGTCTGCCCCAAGAAGCCCAGGGCACTGCACCTCTGCACAGAGCTTTGACATCTATTCCTAGGTCTCCAGAGAAGGTTTATAGTTTTGATACGCAATTGTGACTCCCTAAGCTCACCCTTATTTTTTGAAAAGTCAGTGTTCTTGAGCAGAGGTACCTCAAGTGACCTTAACGGAAGGGGAGATGCGGCCAGGGGTGGAGTGGGTCTGAGGATCTGGTGACCACATCTTCAGATGAGCCCCAGTGGGGCTGTCAGACTCCTCCCCCGCCCCGCCCCACCCCGCGCCTATCCAAAGCCATTGTTGATGTCCCCCTCCTAGACCATCTCCAGGGTTAAGAGCACAACCTCTCCACTGACCCTGGCAGACACCAGACCAGCAGATGCTCTTCATCCCAGTGGCACGTGGTTCTCCCCAGAAGGTTCCCACCAGGAGGGCCCCTGGACCAGGCCATCTAATGCGGTTCTCAGCGCCATCAGGGTTTCACGCTGTGTCTGTCACCAGAGGCCAGCAGGCCTGGCCAGGTCCTGCTGATGGCAGCTCTTTCCCCTTCCACACGCTTGTTTCCTGGGTTCAGGCTGTAGACTTTTGCCATCATGTGGGGCGCCAGCATCTTCCAGTCCAGCCTCTGCACCTCGAGCCCCCAGACCCTCTCCTTAGCGAGGTTTACCTAAGCTTCTGGCCATAGAGAGGACTTGCAGGACAGAGGCGTCCCCAGAACTGCCATTTGGAAGCCAATGCAGCCCCACCTGTCCTGTGTGACCCCTGGTGGGAAAGTCCCCAGATGCTGCAGTTCTAATAATCCAGAATCCTGAGGCCTGTGGATTTGAGGGGTGGGGTTTGTATGGCTCAAAAACGAGTTTCTTCTTTGCCATATGACCCCCTTCAGCCCTCAGTGCAGCGGCCCCTCCCTGGCTGTCCTCAGGGAAGACACCTGATTTGTCCGGAGGGCTGGGTCAGAGGTCACAGGAGGGCTTGAACACCACAGGTGGCATTATTTGCTGCTTGGAGAGATGCAGTAGGATGGGCACCTGGACCTTCTTCTGCAGAACCACAGTGATCTGAGCTGCACCCAGAGCCCACAGGCCCCGGCCTCCCCTGGATCTTGGCGGAAAGCAGGACGCGCTGGTCGCTCCCACTTCCTGGATCACAGTTCACGGCCCACACTCACTGTGCACCTGAGTGTTTGGTCTCTAAGGGGCCATCCAACCCTGCTGATTAGCATCTGCCGTAATCCCAGCCTGTGTTTCTGGAAGAAAGAGCACTGGAATTTCATCGGAGGGAGCCAGTCGTGTTCCATAGAGGAAGCACTTGGTTCCTCTTTGACCCAGTTTCCTCACCATAAAATGGTGATAAGACTGCCAGAGATGTTGAAAGGCTCAGAAGCAGATAATGCACGTCTGAGAGCACCAGAGGAGAAGCCACGGGCACTCCAGGCCTGCTGATGAGTCGCGCTGCTCCTCCGCGCCAGCTCTGTGCTTGACAAGGGCTTGGTGGGCAGTCTCTAACCGTGTCCCCACCTCAGGCCTGGGGTACAGCCCCGTTTCCCCTCTCTGCTCTAGACAGAGTCAATGCTCAGAGAAGTTTCAGTGCGTCCTCCAAGGCCTTACAGCGTAGTAGGGGAAGCAGAGTATGACTTCCCCACACCAGCTCCCAGGATGCCTTGCTGCTCTGGGCGTTCGTGGAGGTGCAGGGGGGAAGATGACCGAACACCTGAGCTTCTGCTGGGTTCCCACTGCAGGCCGACTACTGCCAGGAGGTTTCCGGGGACGGGGCACTCACCCCAGAAACAGCGCCCACAAGAAGCCTGCAGCATTCTTGAATGGCTGCATCCTTGCGATCCATCAGATATTTATGGATCACCCACTGTATATGATTGGGAAATGGCACTGCAGGGTACTGGGGATTCACCCAAGGCTCCGATTAAAGGAATATGTGTTCAAGTAAGTAGAAGACACGGAACCAGTGTCATCGGAAGTGATGAGTAGTGCTGGAAAGAGAAGTGAAAGGTTTGGCAGCAAGGGGTGGCAGAGCCAAGAGCAGTTTCACATAGGGAGCTCAGGGAAGGCCTCTGTGAACAGGGACAAGGGCAGAGGCGGGGGAACGTTCAGTCAGGTCTTCTGGCTAAGGCCCTGAAGCTGAAGTGCGTGGGGTTTTTTTTGTCATTATTGTTTTTGCTGGGGGTTAGGGGAGGCAACGCCTGGCACTCAGGGCTTATTACTCTTGGCTCTTCACTCAGGGGTCACTCTTGGCAGTGCTTGGGGGCCATATGGGGTTATAGAATTGGATACCAAGTCTGCATGGCCAGCACCTTCACCCACTGCACTCGCTGGCCCCATGGAGCAGGTGTTTGAAACTGGCCCATAAGGCTCGATACGGCAGGAAGAAGGTAAGGGAGAAGCAGGTGAGACAAGACAGTGGGGCTCAAGCAGAGGTCCTTGCAGCATAGTTGACAGGAGATTCTAGCTTTATAAATCATTTTAGGAGATGTGCGTCTTGGCAGCATTTTAATCTTGCAGTGTAGACAATTCAGTGCCCTGGTGTTCACTGAAGAGCGTATCATTTTCCTTGTTGCTACTCAGCCTTGAAGAATGTTTTTCTGTTTTGTTCTTTGTTTGGGGGTCATGCCCAGCAATGCTCAGGGGTTACTCCTGGCTCTGCACTCAGGAATTACTCCTGGCGGTGCTCGGAGGACCATTTGGGATGTCAGGGATCAAACCTGGGTCGGCCATATGCAAGGCAAGTGCCCTACCTGCTGTTACTCCAGTTCTTTGAAGAATGTTTTTAATGATGGAGCACTCATTAACAAGTGACCCATTGCTTAGTATTATCCTGTTTTAAGAACCTAACATGTTCCTGATTTTCACTGTCATTTGAAAAATCCATTTGTAGGGTTTTTTGCCACATCTAAGTTTTTTTTTTAATTATGTCCCCTGAAGTGAATTTGTTAGATCTAAGATTTAAAAAACTAAAAATCTTTGATATGCAATGGTGGTGGAAAATGCACTGGTGGAGGGGTGGGTGCTCGAGCATTGTTTGACTGAAACACAATCATGCAAGTTTGTAACTGTATCTCACGGTGATCCAATAAAACTTCTTAAAAAAAATCTTTGTTATGGAAAAGCAAGTTACATAAAGGTTGTATAATAAAATTAATTTACAGTTTCAACCATTGTTACAATTTCTCTAATATCACTTTATTTTCTAGCCTACCCCCTAATTCATTTCCTGTAGTCATTTAAAGAAAATCTGAATATGCCCAGAAGGATTTGCTAGCACGATGAATCAGGGCTCTTAGAAATGAGCTAAGTCTTGTGAGATTTGGGCTCCAGAAACAAGGTGAGTGAGTGGTCCCTGACTGACCTACAGGGTGACCTCGGTGTGGGTCACTCACCTCCTGCTTCCACTGGTTGGCTGTTTCTCAGAATTGGTCTCCTCAAGTCCCCTTCCAGCAATCCACCCAGAATTGAAGAATCAGAACGTGCCCTCCCTGCTGTACTATTGCTCCAGGCCAAAGCCTCTTAAGTTTTGATCCGTGGGCTGGGGAAACAGGCCCAGTGACATCCATACCTTTAGAGGTGCCAGTCAGTACCCAGGAATCTGCATCTTACAACACACCGATGCATGGTTTTGATCCCCAGTGGCCTGAGAGACTTCTTTACTTCTGGGGCCATGTCCAGCAGTGTTCACAGCTTACTCCTGGCTCTGTGCTCAGAAGCCAGTGAATACTGACAGGGCTTGGCACTGGAGATTGAACCCACATCAGTCACATGCAAGACGAGTGCCTTCCCCACTATACTGTTGCTCCAGGCCCATGCCTCTTAAATTGTAATCCTTGGCCCGGGGAACTAGGTCCAGTGACGTCCTTAGCTCTAGGAGATGCCAGGCAGTGAGTGCTGTTAGAGCTGGGATGTCGATTGAGCATGGGCACTGGATAGAATCCACAGCTAGAGAGTTCAACCCTTGATCAGTAGGTTTCATTTTCTAGAATGAGTCTGAGCATGTAGAAGTAAAACTATGAAACTATGGCAGTTACTTATTTTAAAAGTCAAGTAGAGGGCAGGAGAGATAGTACAGTGGGTAAAGCATTTGCCCTGCACGCAGCCAATCTGGATTTGATCCCTGGCACTGCATAGGGTTCCTTGTGCCCTGCCAGGAGTGAGCCCTTAATGGGTGTTGGAACATGATATGACCGAAATCCAATTATAAACAACTTTGTAACTGTATCTCACTGTGATTCAATTTAAAAAAATTAGTATAACTTAAAAAAATAAATAAGGAGTGATCCCTGAGCACAGTCAGAAGTAAGTCCTGAGCACAACTGAATGTGGACCCCCACACACACCCACACACAAAGGAGGGGGACAGGATAGGGGAGGCCGGGGGAAGAGTTAAAGCTTAGGAAATAATAATAATAAGGTTTTGCTGTTCCCCAAATAAGATTTTCTTTCCTCCCTTCTTTCTCCACCCTTGGTTAAATTGATGGGGGAAAAAATGTTGCCCAAAGGCAAATCCTGCACTCAGGATTATGTTGTCAGAATTTATTCAAATTCTTCCTTGACACCTGGTATACTTTAGGGTTGGGCCCTCTCCCTTGAAATAATGTGATTTAAGGACAAGCAGGTTTGTTATGTTTTCACATCTAATCCTTTATTGATCATCAGCCCAGGGATAGATACTAAGCCCAACCAGGTAAACAGTGGGAAGGGGAGGAACAAAGGCATTTCCCAGAAACCTCCTGGCCCCGTGCAGTGACTTAGCATAACTGGGGAACAATGCCCACTCAGGTGGCAGAGGAAAAGCCACCCGAGGAGCCTCCCGAGGATACCCAGCCTTCCCTGAAAACGTACCTTTAAAAAAGAAACAGCCACTTGTCTAGCTAATTGACAGTTATTATGTGGGGGAAAGATTGCCCCTCTTG